CTCCCCGGCGCACGCGCGCGTGCACCTCCACGTCACACATCATTCAGTGCATCCGCTCAGGACATTCGCCCATTTCACTGCGTCACTTCAACGTCACGGATCGAAGCCACTCATCGTACCAATACTACTCACGCTCTCATAGGCACGCACGAATGTAATCTTCAACCGATCCCTAAATCAAGGCCTTGTACGAAGACAAGGTAGGTGTGTCGACGTGCGATGCGGGGGCGTGGCTTGCGCAAAATGTCCCGCTTGCTTCTATGCTCAGTGTGAGCTGCAAGAGTGACGGACAAAGTCGAGTGGGACGCGAGCGGTGGGTCGTCGACCCCTTCGATCCACTTGGAGGCAAGGCATCAGCTAGATACCTGGCCCGCTCGTATTCGCCGCCTCATGCCTCTGACAATCGCAATCAGAAGGATCCAAAGTGCTGAGCAGATGAACCAGACCGTCGTGCTTGGATGCGCATGCTTGAGGGAGAGCGTGTGTGCCTTGCGTCAAACCTCGATCGAGCGCGGGGTCATCGGTGCATCCTGTTCTTGTTCGTGTACTCATAGGCACCACCATCATGTTGGCGCATCAGCCAGCAAAAAAGTTCACGAGAGTTTGGCCCGCACCGATTGTTCTTACCTATAGCTTTGATTCACGATTGGCCTCGCATGCGCGCGTTTATTCAGGGCGAGAAATGGCGTGGCGCAGCTAGCGCAAGAAAGCTCGATCGTGATGTTCGGAGCCGGGGATGGCGCGCTTGAGAGCATGTGTTGAGTGGACGGACGCCTCTCACAGACGGCGCGACAAGGGTGAGAATGTTTATCACGCAGTCACGAATGAGAGGCGGTGCACCGGTACCGCGTGTACAATACATGGATCGCTTCTTGATGCGCAGCAGCAGCAGCAGCAGCAGCAGCAGCAGCCACACCAGACTGAGCTGAGCTCATCACGCACCCCGACCGCCTGTGCTGCGTACGTGCTGCTGAGCAACTCATTTGTTGATGCGCGCGCATGGCGCGCCACACCATACACCATCACCCGCGCGTGCAATCTGAAAGTTTGTTCTCGAGGGGATCCGACGCAGTGGCGCGTCATTCGGGACCTGCAGTCACAGTCGTGAGTTCGCGCGCGGCCTCGAGTCTGGCGAGGTCTGCCAGGCAAAAATCAAGGCAGAACGCGAGTCATAGAACCGCGCGCTTCAGTGTCGAGTGCCTGATCGCCGCAAACGGAGAAAAAAAAAATGCCATCAGTTCGGTGCACGCGGCGAGGCCGGGAAGCGTGCGTGCGTGCGCGTGCAGCGGCTGATGAGTGTGAATCACCAATCACAATCACGAATGTGGATGTGATTTTGACTGGGCTGACGCCTGCATTTACGCTACGATCCGCGCCCGCCGGACGGCCATGGCCAGCGCGCGGTGTGAGAAGCAATTAAGCTGCTGCACCGGCCGGCCGGCCTTGCCCTTCTGCCGCGCGAGCGAGCGAGCGAAAAGTTCGATCGATGGAGTGAGTCAGAGTGAGTAAGTGAGGAAGGAGTACACGGCGTACACTCACACAGACCGCGCGGCGCACATGCGCCGTCTTGCTTGGCTAGCAGCATGCGCCTCGTACCTGGGCGCGTGGGCGGCAGTCAGCAGAGAGCAGCACCATGCACACCTTCATCCTCGCGCGCGCATGCATCGAAATCGGACCGCCTGGACCCGCCCGCCTGTGCTCCAGACGTACCGCAGCCGTGAAGTCGAAAGGGCGGGTGCAAATCAAATGAACCTCATCTGACAAGCACCGCAACCTTCTCATCGTTACCTCATCACCATCATACAAATCATTGCGCTCATTCCGCGCACGCGCACTCTACAAAGAAGCTCTCGCTCGAGCGCTCATCTTGCGACTCTCTTGCAGGCTCATCCCGCAACAGCTCACAGCAGGGTTCCCGCATTTCGAATCCTTGCCACTGCACTCGAGGTCCTCATCAACCTCTTTGCGCACTGCACTCGTTCGCTCCCAACGCGCCAGCACACTGTACGAACACCTCAAACTCTTACACTGCGCCCACGTCGTAGCCAACATGTCGTACGAAGGCAGCTCCTCGCTCTCTGTGCACCACGAGACGCCCAGTTTCATGGAGTTGGATCCCATCAATGCGCTTCACCGCGCCAAACTGGATGCTGATCCGGATGCGGAGGAGAGCATCTGCACGGATGACGAGCTTTTGGAAATCGTTCGAGCTGCTAAGCGTGTTGGAAAGGGTGACGGTCATGCCGTCTTGATGGGCACGACGTTGGAGGGTCAGTGGATCGACACTAGAGTACCTGCTCGTATCCCACACTCTCATCACTCTTCTGGAAAGTACGAGAGCGACGCTGAACGCTGTGAGTATCGCTACGAAGCGTTTGAATAGCGCAAAAGGGGGGAGAGCATGTCTCAGGATGCGGATGGGATGGGGTTGCGATGGGACGTGATGCGTGAGGCCTCCTTTTAGCCACTGCTGACGCGACCCCCCACCTCTCCTCCCTTCACAGCTTCTGCTCGCACTGCCGAGTACGATGCTTCTCCGACGGAGACCATGGGATCTTCTTACTCTACCGAGGCTACGAGTCAGGCTACCAACAGTCATCCCTCTGCCGCTAGCGGAACCCTTCACAAAGTGGTCGCTCGTCACCAGCAGCAGCGTTGCGATTCTTCTCAACAGTGAGGGTGATCCAACACCGTAGCATATAAGCAGCCAATCGACTCAGCAGCCGAACGACTCGATCTCAACAGCGAGAGTGATCCACACCGTAGCATATAAGCAGCCAATTGACTCGAGCATTGCCTCTCGACTACTCCATCTTGAGCCACGCGAGCGTCTTTGCCTGCATTTTGCCTAGCACCCCTGCTTGGTGCGCTCCTGGGCTCTCCGCCAGCCTTTAGAATGGCACGCACTTTCACACCCACCAGACTTCAGTGAGCCTTTCACGACATTTTCCCAGCATCCTGCCACAGTATCCCGAGCATCGCTTCACAACGCGTCGTAGTTTTGACCCTTTACATTACGCACATCGACAGAGATACCACGTCCGATACATCCCGACGTGCGTGATGCACCCACGCATTCTCGCTCAGAGGCGACATTGAAGCCCTTTTGAACATTAGCCTGAGCATATTGGCCTTTTGTCGATCTCGTTCCATCGAACGCCACCTCATCTCCCCCGCCTTGGCTCGGCTCCCATTCATGTTTTCTTCAAATCTGTTGTACGCCCCGATAATCGCATACCTCGCTCGCACTACGCCACGCGTCTTGGACATTGTGCGCAACAGCCACGACATTTGGATTCAGCGAGCGTATGTATGTCTCTGCTTTTGAGAGGTGGGAGCTGTGGTCGAAATTGACCGGGCACGTCGAGCTAGCCGAGGAGAGCAGGTCGATGCTACCTTTTCCCATCGGGCATGGACACAAGTCACCCGTTGCGCGAAAAGGCTCCCAAGGTTCGAGGGTGCGCTGCCTGCTTGCCTGCCTGCCTATACATGCCATTCAGGATTCGACTGTGCCGCGCCAACCTTGCTGGCAGGTCATGGTCAGCGGTCATCACGAGATTGTGTCGCGCGCGCCAAAGGCAAGAAAGAGTGTGAGCGTGGCGGGGGTGCAGCAGGGATCGAGCGTGTGACGTGACACTCAAACTCCTGACAAGTTCCACCACTCACCATTCAATTCGGGCTGGTAACCTGTAGTCCACTTTTTAAGGTGAGCATCGCTTGAATTCACATTGTACAGCGCACGCGGAGCTCGAAGGGAGATAGATGTCGGTGAGCGTAGGTATAGCGCGTCGTGTAGTCACGAGTGTCATGTGTGCGTGCAGCCGTGCATACAGCCAGCAGCGCTTTCGAACGCGACGCGCGGGCGCATCTACGCATGCCTGCCTGCATGCAGCATGCATGCATGCAAGTCACGAGTCGTCAGTGCAGTCTGAATATTCGCGCATACCTGCCTGCTGCCTGCGCCCCCTCGCTTGATGGTGGCTTGGACCATGCAACCTCCCGCGGTCCCGCGATGCGTGCTCGACATTCACGACATTTCGGGATGTTGGCGTGGCTTGCGTGGCTTGCATCTCATCCACAATCACCGAACGGGCGTGCACAATTCTGACAACATCATCACAATTCACCTCACTCTCTCACTCACTTACTCGCGGTACTTTGAACACAACCATCCCCTTCTCTTACCTTCGTATCGGCGCTGCCTGCTGGGCTGCTTCTTATATGTAGCCAGCTGGAAAGACTGCAGCCCCCCTCTCTCGCAACTCGCACCCAACTTGACCGCATACAGTCACGCTCTGCACTCTCAGCTGCTCATCCGCGCCACGACTCACGTTGGACGCGCGACTTCCGCTCGACTTGCAACCTCGATTGGGAGCCCATCCAACGCACGCGCCTTGCTTCGAAGGACCAGCTCTTTGGGCCCTTGCAACATCCGCCTCCCTCACAACGACAGGTCAAAGTTCTGTTCGGATCACACCGCAGCTCTGTGCGCTCGGATCATACGAGGGCCGTCGCACCTCAGGCGAGCAGCAATCACAAGGGCCAGACTAGCACACGCGCGCGCCGACCATGTCACGATCCTTCTTTGCTCCTTCTGGGGTAGAGTCATCTAGCAGCAGTAGCGGTGGAGACAGAGGAGCCTCACCTCCCTCAGATTCTTCCAGAGCGCCATTCTTGAGCAACAAGGAGGCGGCGACGACGTTGAATTTGGGCAACGATGCTGCGGCGACTGGTGCGAACGGTATCTCGTCGGATAGACAGGACAAGAGCGCATTAGCCACAGCTGGCGCTTTACCCCCCATCCTCGCTTATTGCACTGCAAGCATTCTCATGACTGTCATCAACAAGGTGAGCGGCGGCATTCGCAGTAGCGAAACGAGAAAGGGACCTGTTGCGCCGCGGGGCTCCTCGAGGACAGCGCGGCTTGATGCGATGGAGGAGTGTCGGACAGCGGTGTGCCCGCGTGCGCACGCCCAACAACGCTCTGCTTACTCCCCTTGTTAATGCCCCTCAGTACGTCTTGTCGACACGCTTCACGCTCAACATGTTCGTGCTCCTCATCCAATCCCTCGTCGGGGTGATTCTGGTTCGAGCGGCCAAATCGACAGGAGCGATTCAGTTGAGAGACTTTATTTCCAAAGATGCCAAGAATTGGTTCCCCATCAGCTGCCTGCTCGTCCTCGTCATTTGGACCGGTAGCAAAGCTTTGGTGAGTGCAGTTCTTCGCGCACCAGGATGTATGCTTTCTGCTCCTTGCCGGGCGCTCGACCTTTACCTGCCTTTGGTGCGTATCAAGGCGCTGACTACCACTGCATGCATGCCCTGCGTCGTGCTCAGCAATTCCTCAGCATTCCAGTGTACACCATCTTTAAGAATCTCACCATCATCCTCATCGTGAGTTAGCAGATTCGCAGCTAGCTGTCCGAGACTCCAAGCTGATCACGCTCTTTTCGTCGCCAAAGGCATACGGCGAGGTGTTCCTCTTCAACGCTCGCTTGACACGCATCATTCTCCTGTCCTTTGGCTTGATGGTGCTCTCCTCCATCATTGCCGCATCGGCCGACATTGCTCGGGTACTGGACCTAGCCGACCTAAGGATGCCACACAATGCCGACTCTCTGGATGCGGTGAGCCGCCTTTCAGCCGGCCACGAGGTGGGAACATCGGATCCTCTTGCGGGTATCAAAGCTAGCGTCAATGCTCTAGACGCGCCAGATAGCGAAGGTGAAGGAGTGCTGGAAGCGATGGGCGGATGGCACATTTTCAACTCGGGCTACGTCTGGATGGCCCTCAACTGCACCGTCTCGGCCGCATACGTCCTCTTTATGCGCAAGAGGATCAAGTCATTTGGCTTCAAGGATTGGGATACCATGTACTACAACAACCTCCTCAGCGTGCCCGTGCTGATCGTCATGAGTCTGGTGCGTCGGTGATTAGGCATCGCGTTGCCTGGTGACATCCGCTCGTCTAACACTTTGATATGCTTCCCCGCAACACCAGTTTGTCGAAGATTGGAGCGTCGCAAACTTTGAAAAGAATTTGTGAGTGCTTGCGTAGCGAGAGCAAAGGGCGTCACATGGGTCCAGACTTTTGATACGCGCTCACACTTTTTTTTTTTTTTCCCTTCTTTTCCCGGGCCGGCCGCAAGCCCGAGCGACAGGCGCACCTCGCTGATGACGGCCATCGTGTTCAGCGGAGCTTGCGCCGTGTTCATCAGCTACACGACGGCATGGTGCATCAGGGCGACGAGCAGCACGACGTACAGCATGGTGGGAGCGCTGAACAAGCTTCCATTAGCTCTGAGCGGAATGGTGTTCTTCAACGATCCCGTCACTACGGGGAGCACCACCGCCATTGGCACCGGATTCTTGGCTGGGTGAGTTGATGACAGGCAGCGTTCCCTCGTGCTTGAAGGACATCACCTCGCTCACATCTGCGCGCGCGTGTGCAGCTTGGTCTATGCGTACGGCAAGAATCAACAAGCGGAAGCGGGACGGCTTGCCAGTGCGAACGGAGCGGCCAACCACGGTGCATCATCAAGCTTGGAAGAGAGGGACGAGTTCAAGGGATCCTTGCCCATGCATCAGAGAGAGGGAGGCGCAAAAGGTCGCGTAGAATGAAGAGCGGGCGGGGAAGGGGCTGCACAGAGAGGCGAAGGAGCGAGGTGCAAGGCGGAGTCGCGCAACGATGCGATGTCACTTGATGCTTGCGCTCTACCATTCGATCGACGGGCTATCCGAGTGGACGGCTCCTTTTAGTGCGATCGATAGGCGTCGGACGTCGATGCAGAGGCCCGCTCGACGAATGCATCCTTTACTTATCTCGAACAAGGTTCTCGCTGCTGTGATGCGACTCGTTGCCCACTTTGGCCCGAGCTCAGCTCGAACTCGTTAGCACTTGCCAAGGACGCAGAGCGGCCCGTTTGTGAGTTTGAGAGGGGGCGAGGCGGAATTCATGTACGCGCATATCATCCCCAACCTGTGCACTGGCCTTTACTCGCCACGCAGACCTCTGCTCGGCGTCATTTGATTGTAAGCTGACCCATTGTGGCTCGCGACGATGAACATGTCATGCTTTGCGATTGGATCGAGTTGGAGCGAGTGATACATTGACTTGCCCCGGAAGTGAAGTCGGCGATGACTGCATGCGTGCATGGGCGCAGTCACGAGTTAGACGTCGATCGAATCGTTCCCTGCTATAGCTCCTCTGTATTCTTGATCCACACCACTCACGATTAAAGCCGCCCGCTCAATGTGGCGCACCCCCACCACCAGCCCCACCTGATTGACCAGCTGATCAAAACGAGGCTCGGCCTTTTGGCTTATCGCCGAGGCCGGGGTAGGAGTCTAGGATCGAGGGGGGTGCGTGGGAACGGGCGTTCGTGGCGTTTCGGCGTTCATCATGGCTGACGTTTGTGGCGTTTCGGCGTCGACTATTGCATCTGACATGCGCACCAGCTAGTCGGCCGTAAGGCAAGCAGCCTTGAGAGCATACGTAAGTGGTTGTTGTTGTTGTTTAGATCGAGCGTCTCAAAGGTATCAAGCTCCTTTGGCTGCTGCTGCTTGCTCGATTGTGGCAGGTGCAGCTGTGCGAGGCCCCGGCTTTCATCACCAGCACGATGGAGGAGAGCCGCGTGCGTGCTGCGTGCTGCGTGCTGCGTGCTGCGTGCTGCGCGGTGATCGTTGGCGGTGGGACGTGCAAAGATCGATGCATGCATGGGCAACGCAACGCAACGCGCAACGCGCATGCTGTGCTTGATTTTGCTGCTGCTGCACAAGTTGCCGATTTGATTTGCTATATAAATGTGTGTGCTCTTGTGGACTTGCATGTGCTCATCTCTACACCCGCAGCCTTCTTGCATTGACCACCACCCACCCACTCCAACCCTCGCCCATCCTCCACTCACACCCACACTCGACAAGAAAAAGCCTCACTTCTCTTCCTCTCTCTCTCTCTCTCTCTCTCCACTCCGCTTTCCCCCCCTCCTACTCCTCTCAATCTGGCTCGATCGGCGCATATCAGCTACAATGTCACAAATCCCAACTACGGCACAAGCGTGGCGCTTGCACAAGCTCGGTCATTTGGCCGATGCCATCCAGGAGGATACGGTGCCCACTCCTTCGCCTGGCGATGGGGAGGTGCTGGTCAAGCTCAGCCACGCTTCGCTCAACCCGGTAGATTACAAAATTGTGGGATTGGTGAGTGATGAGCGATTGCACGAGGGCGAGGGCGAGGGCGAGGGCGAGGGCGAGGGGGCGAGTGAGATCAGCTAGGCGCCCGTGTTGCACTCATACTGTGGTAGCGATGCGTGCGAGCAAGTGGGTAAGACTGACGTCGTTCGTCGCATTCATTCGCGTGCACCGTTGCCCCCCCCCCCGCCCTTTTGCTGCCCCGCCGTGGGACGACAACAGATGGGACGCTTCATGAAGCTTCCGCGCACAGTCGGAGCTGATTTCAGTGGAGAGATTGTCAGCGTTGCGCAAGGTTCCCACGCTTCTTGGGTCAAGCAAGGCGTGCGGGTGTACGGCATCTGGTCTGCGGACAAGGCTATGGGAAATGGCAGAGGATCCCTCTCCACCTATTTGACCATCCCTTCCAAATGCGTTGCTCCTATTCCACCTTCGCTGGACTACGAATCGGCAGCGGGCATAGCTCTGACTGGATTGACGGCTTTTAGTCTGAACGAGACGTTTGAAAAGGGTTGGAAAGTCTTCATCGTGGGAGGAAGCACTTCTGTAGGCTTGGCTGCGGCTGATATCGCAAAAGCTAAAGGAGCAAGCTTGGTCGTTGCCAGCGCGAGCGGAGAAAAGAAGAATGTGCTCAAGCAGCGCGGTGTGGATGAAGTCATCGATTGTGAGTGTGTGTGTGTGTGTGTGTGTGTGTGTGTGCGCGCGCGCGCGCGCGCGAGCATGCATGACAATGAAGTCAGCAAGGGCATCAGCGCGCGCAACAGTGCTCACAGGTCGGCATTCCCCCCTTTCACAGACAAGGAGGTGGACGTGGCGGGAGAATTGTCTCTGCGCTACAAGGATCAGCCATTCGACGTCATTTTCGACTGCGTAGGTGATCGCTTCATCCACGCAAAGTGCCCTGCGTTCCTGGTGAGTTGCCAGTTCCACCCCCAAGCCTGCGCGGAAGCTTCGCCTCGTCACGCGGCCCCCTCTCTCTCTGACAAGTTGGTCCCTGTCCGCACGAATCTGCGCAGAAACCCACGGGCGAATATCGATCCGTTGGCGCATCGTCGCTCTCTCCGGAATCTAGAATTTGGTCTGCAGAATCTAGATCCTTAGGTCTGTGGTTCTTTAGAGCATTAATTCTCCCCAGCTTCCTGGGTGGCATTCCGCGAAAGTTCAGACTCTTGGGATTGAAGGATGATGATCTTTCCAAGCTCGACGACTTTGTTCAATCTGGTGAGCAAAGGGGCTGCTTGACTGGCTCTGACTGGCTCGCTAGCAGCTTGAGCTGGGCATGACTGAAGAGCGATCTGACCCATACTACTCTGCATCGCCCCTCACACCTCCCTCCCAACAGGCCAATTGCGCCCCGTGGTGGACAAGACCTATCCATGGAACGAAGCGCGCGAAGCTATCAAGTATCTGGCCACCGGCCGAGCTCTGGGTAAAGTCAACATCGCAGCGCCCGTGGCGCCTGCAGCTTGATAAGGACACTCGTCATTACATCATAAAGTGAATCTCCTCTTGCTTGTCCCCTTCTCGGACGCGCGCGTGCGTCTCCCCCTCTCTCTCTCTCTCCAATCTCCCATCACATTGCGCGGGCGTAGAGAAAAAGTATTGCATTTTTTTTTTCTTCTCTTTTGCTTACTCGTTGAAGTGAAGAGCGAGATCAAAGAATTCCTGCAGCTCTCCAAGCATCATTCCGACGCGACAGCGTAAAGAACAGATCGTCGAAGGGGGGGGGAAAAAAGTAGGACCGTGGCTGGCATGCCGCGCGGATCACAATTCCGTCTTTTTGCGAAGAGCAGTCACACCATCGTCGAGAACGACTCTTGCCTCTCTGGAGTACTGCGCAAACTTCTCTCCGGCAAATCGATAGTAGGCGATAGCGTTCTTCGTTAGAGGATCCGTCTCATCTTGCGTAACGTACCAAGCAATGAGCCAGCCTCCGAGAGCGATGAGCGCCATAAAGATCGTCATGGCCAGCAAGATGATGACGAAGAATTTGACCGTATCGTCTCGATCCTTTTTCTCTTGCGCTTCCCTCTCTTCCTTTGTGAGGTTTGCCTTGCTGGCGTCCACGTTGAAGCCTTTGGGATCGATCAATCCCACCGCTTTTCGACCCGCTGCTCTAGCCTTGACTCTAGCTTGAGTCGCGCGCTCCTCTGCAAATCGTCGCAATCCTTCTGCTCGTCCATCTGGCCCTCCAGAACTTCCTCCAGTCGCGATGAACGAAGGATAATACGTCTCGCACCACACTTCGATCCTTCCCAGCTCCACGGTCCATGCTACAAAGTTGACGTCTGCCGGGGACAATTTGCCTCGGATGCGCTTGACGTGCTCCAAAAAGATGTACGCTACATCGCGCGGGTTCACCGCTCGAAGGATCAATTGAACCGCTTGGGATTTTCGAATCTTGACGTTGCGCTTGAACACGTCCGGATTGGCAAACATGAGCTCCAAGGTGGCGATGGCCATGACTTGAGGGATTGCGCAAAAGTTGAAGCAGGATTGTTCCCTTAGCAGCGAGAGGTAATCCAGAGACTTTGTTGCGTGCTGCACAGCGTCCAACAGCATGCTCGAGAGCACATCCATCGACTTTGACCCGAGCTCCCCTTGCGCTTTGAAGTGCCCGCCACCTGCGGCTACGATTCCCTTGGCAACATCGGGCTGAGCAGCAAAACCATGTGCAGAGTAACACTCTGCCGGCCAGAAATGCCTTCCATCCTCGCAATCCTCGGCATAATCGCGGATGATGTTCGTCTTTTGCAAGAAAAGTCCCATGTGGTTGGAGAGGCTCAATTGATCGGCCAACCAAGGTCTCTCGATGCCGCTGGATCCAAAGAGTCGCGAAAGACCTTCGCCCACCAATCCGGCTACAAAGTGACAGTACAAGTCGTAGTCTGACCATTTTTGCACCACCAACTGCGATTGGGAAGTGGCGAGGATGTAAGAGGCCATGCCTGCGCCCATCTTTGCGCAAATGTCGGAAATGACAATCTGATAGCTGCGAGAGGGAGGGGTAGAAGCGGAGCGGGGTGAGCAACAGGGCCACACGGATGCGGTGCTTGCGGGATGAGCAGAAAGCGCCATGTGTATGCGGTGCCTTCTCGACTCGCACTCGCACTCGCACTCGCACTCACCGCTGATCGAGTCTGGCAAATTCGTCGATGACCTTGTCGAATTGAACGAGGAGGTGCCTGTCCTTTTCGTCCGGACCATTGCCATCAAAGTTCCAACCCTTGACCTGCAGCTTCTTGTAGAATTGCCTGAGCATAGGAACCTTTGTATCCTGCGCGATGGTCATATCATCCTCGATCGTATCCAACGCTCTCAGCACCAAATAGAAGATGCAGATCACTCTGCACAATTCCCCTTTCAATTCCTTGATCACTGCGGCGAAAGAGCGAGAAGTGTCGTCTAGCAAGGACCAGCAGTCCTTCATCGTCTGACGCTCCCAGCCCGAATCGGGAGAGGATTTGATGTCGTTCAAGGGATCGCGCCAGACTTTGTAAGTCACGAGACTGCGAAGCTCGGAGGGGTGCCTAATGGCTAGCCAGAGCAGGGAGAGGGCCGACATGTTGGGCGATGCGCGCAGGGGCGGGGCGGGGGCGGGGGGGATGGTTGTGAGGAGAAAAGTGGGCTGTTGGTGAGGCGGGGCTAGTATGCGGGCTGTGTAGAGCAGCGTCGAGGCGCATGGACATTCACATGGACTACTTGAAGCTCATTCGCGCTTTCGACCCAGTCACGTCTGAGCGTGGAGAGAGAGAGAGGAATGGTCAAGCAAAAGGAGCGCTCAATTATGCGGACATCCATAGAAGCCTCAACCCGCGCCGTCGCTGCTGCTGCTGATGCTCATCAAAAGGCACAGCATACATGCTGCACCCGCACCCGCATCATCACGCGCAACATCTTCCCACCACCAACAACGCGCGCGGCGGGCTGCTGGGCGCATGATTTCCACGCATCAGCTCACCTCGCACAGCAAGCACAAGCACACAAGCGCGCGACAGGAGGGACTCTATCTCGTGCGAGAGAATCATCACGAGTGGCGGGCGGGCGGGCAATTGCAAGCTGTTGCTGCTGCTGCTGCTGCTGCTTAATTCACGATTGGAAGAATCGTCAAGTCGAGGGACCGAGGTTTACAGTCGTGAGTGTGAGTCGTGAGTCGTGAGTATGCAGTCGTGAGTCTGAGTCGCGAGTGCGGGGAAGGGAGGTGCAACATGCACTCGCCTGCACTCACACTGTCCTGCTTCTGCTCCTCATTTTGGCAACGTTTTCCGAGGCGTCGCTTGATGGGATTGCAGACACATCAGAAGGAACAGAAGCAGTGGCAGTCTGGGGTCAAGAAAGTCAAAGCCAATGGTTTAGGCAAAAGGGCTGCAAAAAAGCTTCAGGATCAGGAGAAGATCGCTCGTTCGCATGGCAGGCAGGTCCTATTCTGCGCGTCCACGTCCAGCTAGCTGAGCCTCACCCTCACACCAGCTCAGAAAAGTGGCGAAAAGGCAAGATCAAGCGAGGTGTGCACCACAATTCAGGCTCACTCACGCACCCTGGCAAGCGTTCGGTTTGAGTGCCCCCAACCTTGTCGCCTACTGCGAGGTACAGCCGAATGTTCAGGCAACAATGATCTCGACGAAGAATCGCGAGCGCGATGCACCGTCCGCAGCCTCTTCCTCGACGAGTGCGCCAATCCCGAGCGAGCGCATCCAGCGCACGAATCAGCTCCTCGTCGATACGTCTGCTGCAGCACGCGAGCACGAAAGCCTCGCAGACTATGTGCCTTCTTTTTGGACCATCTTTCAACTCGTACTCCTTCCCAGAGTGATCAGCGCCTTTCTTCGACGAATCGCAGACTGCGACGAGAGTGAGTTGAGAGGGGGCGGTGAAAGGAGTGTTCCGGAGCAAGCCGTCTCGTCTATGAGAAGCGGTCTGTGCTCCGTCACCCGATGCTCGAGCTGATGGTACGTTTGATCCTTCTTTCGCACATACCTGGTGCGCATTCCTACGGCAGCATACAACTACTGGGAACCTCTTCATCTGCTCTCTTGGGTCTCGAACTCTCAGGACGCGATCTCCAGCGCACCATTGCAAGCTTTTCAGACGTGGGAGTACGCACCGCAATATGCTCTTCGCTCTTGGAGCTACATTGCGCTGCATCTACCCGCTGCTGCTTGGATTCCGCAGTTGTTGGGTTGGCAGAAGGTGAGCTGAGCGCAATGTATTTGGTGAAAGATGAGGAGCTGATCTCGGTTTCGATCCCCCTCTCGCCACTTGATCTGATGCGCGCACACCCAGGTCAATGCGCTGTACTCGACCCGAATGTTCTTGGCGTGGGTCTGCAGCTTTACAGAAGCTTGTCTGGTTAGATCGGTGGGAACGTGTATTCATCCTAGGGTTGCGCAGTACATGCTGTTCGTTCTGCTTCCGTCGGCGGGCATGTTCCAAGCCAGCACGGGTGAGTTGTGCGAGAGAAGAGCGACACAGCTTCCGAGTTGCAAAGCGAGCTCATGGCCCACACTGACTGTCGCATGCAGCCCTACTGCCTTCCACCTTGGCAATGTGCACCACCACCTTGGCCATGTCTTACGCGCTGCAACCTTCAACGAGCGCAAAGGGCTTTGCTGTGAATGCAGCCATTCTGCCTCAGACCATCCAGACGCGTCAGCGAAATCTCAAGATCATCTTGAGCTTTGCAACGGGAGCGGTTCTGGGATGGCCGTTTGCGCTCGTGCTGAGTTTCCCATTCGTCCTCGAGGAGATCTTCTGTCCATCCGGTCAACTCGTGCCTCTCTCTCGCTACCTCTGCTTTACCTACGCCCGAGTCTTGGCCTCCTTGCCCGGTCTACTTGCAAGTCTATCGTTGGTGTCAGGTCTGTTCCTGGTAGACATGGCAGCGTACGGTCGACCAGTACTGGGAACGCTCAACATTATCATCTACAACATCTTTTCGGCGCAAAGAGGTGCGGGTCCGGAATTGTACGGGACGGAAGCTTGGTGGTATTACCTGAGGAACTTGAGCTTGCTCTGGAATCCTCTGGTCGTGGTGCTGGCCATTGTCGTCTGGCCAATGTTGCTGCTTTGCAGACTCGTCGTGCCCACGATATTTGCGGCTAGCAGCTCGGCAGCGACAAATCCTGCCAAGGTGCAAATGAACAAGCGAGAGACCACATTGTCAAACGCTCCGCTAATTTTGCTAATGCTGAGAACGGCACCTTTCAATCTCTGGCTATTGCTCATGAGCATGCAACCGCACAAGGAAGAGAGGTTCATCTTTCCGGCATTCCCGCTGCTCGCTTTCAATGCCGCCTTGAGCCTGCACCTATCCATCGAGCTGCTGCGTGTCGTGCTGGGAAAGTTGAAAGGAGTGCTCGGACCTTCGAAAATCGGCTCGGGCAGGTCGGACGATGTAAGTGACAGCGAAAGCTTTTGTTACGAGGTAATCTCGCCCAGCACCTTGTAGCTGTCCGATCGCGTGCGGTGGGCAGTGCTGACATCCCTGCCATCTATCTCCGCGCCACCTCCGAGCAAGCAGATCTACCCAACCCTCTCGCGGCTCCACTCCATCGTCGCAACCACCATCCTAGCTCTCAGCGCTCTGACCAGCATTTCTCGATCCGCTCAATCAGTCCTCGCTTTTAGCGGACCCACCGAGACGCTAGAGTACCTAAGCAACTACGAGCTTCCTCGATCGGCGGTGCAGAGCTGTCCTACGATTGTGGACGCGCAAACTCGAGAAGCTTGGAGGTCGCTTGAAAGCTTGTCACAGATCGAGCGATATGCGCAAGCTTTGCAGCTGCCAAGAGTGGATCTGAACAAAGCTGATGCTGGATGCTCTGATGCGCAAAACGAGCTGGATGCGCAAAGGGGAGGAACAAGATTGTGCTACGCAAAGGAATGGCATAGGTTCCCTTCGCATTTTCACGTGCCAAGTCATGTGGAGGTGAGGTTCGTCAAGAGCGATTTTCAGGGCATCTTGCCGCAGCATTTCGAGCGAGGTGCAATCCATGGTGCATCTGGACTGGCTAAAAGTCTTTTGGATCTTTGGTCGTGGAGGAACATCACGAGGACTGAGCGTCGAGGCTTCAATGATCTGAACAAGGAGGAGCGGGATCGATATGTGAGTCTGCATGTCCTTCTTCTCTTCTTGGGTCCCCCTTTGCAGCACTTTGCAACGCTGAATCTGACTCGCTCTTGCTGATTTGCGACCCAGGTGGAAGTCGATACGTGCAACTACCTCATCGACGTGGATTTCCCACATCGCTACGCCGAGCAAGGTGGCGCCCATCTATCCAACAACGAACCTACATACGAACCTCGGTACACCCACGATCCAAATTGGACCGCACTAGCATGCTATCCCTTTTTGGACATTGAGCATTCCCATGCCGTACCAGGATCGAGCAAAATGGTGAAACTCGTCGCCATCTTGAAAAGAGCTTTTTGGATCCCCCTTCCGCGCGCTTTATTCGACGAAACCAACAAATTCGGCGACTATTGCCTCTTGAGGAGAGAGGCAAAGGAGGCGTAGAGCATCATAGGAGCATCCTTTGCACAGACCACGAGTGGACGCCGCTGCATCGCTTTCCCCCTTCGCACGCTCATACTTACATGTACGGGGGTCAGGCCGCATAGCAATCTGCAGAATCCAATCAACATTGGCTGTCGAAGCATAGGTCCGAAGTCGTCGAATGGGTGACGGACGCGTCAGCGCGGGTCACGAGAGCAGATCTGACAAGATCGAAGCGGGCACTTCACTCAAGCGTACAGTACAGAGAAGCCGACGCAAACCATGGGAGAATGGGAAGGGGAAGGACTAATTCCTTCGCGTGGCCAGTGGTGTAGGGGGCACAAGAGTGCTGACGTTGGAAGCTCTCGGTCCGCTCTGTGTGCCCGTCTTGCCCGTGCCGCCCATCTGCTGATTGGCGCTGCTACCCCTTTGAGACGGCGGGGCGCTCATCCGACCAGAAGCGGGACTGGAGCCGGGCAGAGAAGCCGGACCGACCTGTTGAGGGGCGTGCAGGTCCGTATTGTGAACAGCCAAAGATCTAGACTGATTGCCCGTCTTGAAGACGCCTACCAATCTGTTGGAAAGCTCGAACAGATTATTTCGATGACTGATTACCACAAATTGAGCACCGCCTGCTGTTCGTGCGACGATCATGTTGGCAATGACGGACACATTTCTAAAGTCCAACGCTGCGTCGATCTCGTCCAGTACGTAGAAAGGAGTGGGCTTGAAATGATGCAGAGCAAAGACGAGCGCAAGAGAACTCAACGTCTTTTCGCCTCCTGACAGATTGCTGATATTCTTCCAACTCTTCTTGGGCGGCATGACGCTAAAGAGGATACCCTCGCTGAACGGATCCAGACTGTCGACGAGCTCCAGCTCCGCATTGCCTCCCAGCGTAATCGTCTGGTACATCTCCTTTAGCTTTGCCGAAATGACGCTGAAGCCGACCATGAACTGCTCCAATCGCTGCTTTCGCAGATCGTCGTGTTTTTGCTTGGCCACGTCGCGCTGCTTGGTAGTCTCCTCGAGGTCCTTGGCACGGGAAACAAAGTCGGCTTCGCGTTTGCGGTACTCTTCCAACACGGCCAGATTGCCAATACCCTTTTGTACTTGTTCTACGGGCAAGGACGAGCGACATCAACATTGCACCATGACCATGTCGCGCGGCGCATACGTTCACACTCACCTTCGTAAATGATGATCTCTGCCTTGATGCTCTCCTTGTCAAAGCCGCGCAGCTCGTCAGGAGGAAATTCTTGCAGCACGAGCTCTTCATCTACGCTATCGTCCGATGCAGCGTCTTCATCGTCGGGCGTGTCCGACTTGGAGCTCTTGGACTTGGCGATCTTGGCATTTGGAACGCGCTTGCTAGACTTGGCATCGGGTCGCGCTGCCTTCGCATCTTCTACAGCGGCTCCTTGTTCGCTTTCCGAGTCGTCTTCGTCATCATCCTCATCGCTCTCGATGCGGTGCAGACGCAGCTGAGCGTGCTTGTCATGCCAGTGCTGCAGACGCTTGGTATTGTCCGCGACCGAGTGATGATTATCTTCGAGCTTCTGCTTGATCTCCATCTGCAGTGCAAGGGCCGAGCGTCAGCTTCCATTCGTGCGCACCAAGCACGGCTTCGATGAGCAGTTCTGCTACTCACTTCGAGCTTTCGGAAAGCATTGATGGAGTCGGACTTGCCCTCGAGCTGAGCTTTGATCTCGTCCTTTGCATCTTGCTTCGTCTCCATGACGTGCTGCGCTTCCTCGACCTTGCTTCGCACAGCGCGAACCTCTTTCGACTTGCCATCGATCACCGCACCAAGCTCGTCCAGCTCGCTCTGCAAAGCGTCTAGCGCTTCACCATTCGCCGCGTTGCTCTTCTCCAGCTTGGCAATGTCCTTTTCGGCCTTCGCTTTGGTCACCTCAGCCTTGGTGATGCGCTCGTTGCTCAGTTCAATCATCTGCTTGATTCCGTCGACCTTGGCGTTCTGCGTGCGCAAGCGCACCCCTCCAACTTCCAGGATCTTTTCGTGTAGTACGGCAATGTCGGATTCGATGACGCTCTTCTTCTCCTTGAGTCCGGCCAGATCCTTGCTGATCTTCGAGAGGGAAGTGTCTAGCTGGGCCATTCGACTCGCATCGGCATCGTCGTTGGAAGATCCCGCTGCAGACGTGAGCTCAGCAACGCGGTGTTCGGCTTCTTCCACGCGCTTGCGTCCCGCCTCGACATCCATCGCCACCTTTTCAATGTCCATCTCGAGCAAGGGCAAGCGCTTCTTTTGACCGTCGAGCAAGCTCTGCATATCCTTGGCAGACTGCACGAGATTTTGGACCGAGGCCTCTGCCGCTTCGCTCTCTCGTTCGAGACGGGCCACCTGCTCGGGTGAGACGCCTTCCTCCAATCTGGAGCTCATTCCTCCTTTGGCGACTCGTGCACCGCCGCCCGACATTGTTCCGCTCTTGTCGATCAACTGTCCATCAAGCGTCACGACGCGCCAGCGCTGGGCTCCGTAGGCGATGCGATTTGCATGAGCCAAATCCCTGGCAACGAGCGTGTCTCTCAGCTGGTGGTAGAATGCCGCTGCAAAACGCGCTTCCTTCGGCTTGACCAAGTCGAATAGGCGAGGCACATCTTCGGGCGTCGCGATGCGCTGCATGTTGACCTTGCCCAGACTGTTGAGGAGGATGAAATTTGCGCGTCCCAAATTGTTTCGTCTCAAATGTTCGATGCATGTCTGACCAGTCTCTACGCCATCTACCACCATGTTATCCAGACCAGGACAAGCCGTGCTGATAGCCACGTCGTACTTTTCCTCGATGGTGCCTAGGCTGCCTAGTCGCCCATGGAAACCTTTGAGCATTCCCAGGTCAGACTGTCGCGTTAAAGCTTTCAGCACTTCGCTCTTGGATCGATTTGACGTCGCTGAAGACTTGGCTTCGTCGGCCTTGCTGCGCGCGGCACGAGCTCTCGCGCGAGCCTCGATGACATCCACATTCATGCGCTGACGAGGGGCACTTTGACGCGTTAGCAGGAAAACCACATCTGCCGTTCCCGAGGTGCTCTGCGCGCTCACCTCGAGTTTGCCTTCGAACGCGCCAACCTTTTGCTGCGCCTCTTTTTGCTCTTTGCGCAGACTTTCGAGCTCCTCGCTCTGTTGAAGAAGCGCATCAGTCGAATTGCCAGCCAAGATCGATCAGTCACAACTCCTCACCTTGGCTTCATTGTCCGCCACGATCTCCTTGACGGCATCTCTGGCCGCATCTGCCTCCTTCGTGGCCTGTTGCGCGCGTGCCTCGAGCAAATTACGTTCTTCGGTAGCCACGTCGTGCGCATTCTGACGTTCGCTAATCTTGGCAGCCCAAGGCTGAAGCTCCCGCTGCTTCTTCTCGATCGCAGCGGTGAACCCTTCCGTCTTGCCCTTGAGGCCTTCCCGGATGTCGTCCAACTCGGCTTCTTCCTTGCTGAGCGAGGATTCCAGCTTGTTGAGCTCGGCGCCCACAGTCTCGATCTCTTCTGCCGAGTTGCTCGACGTAGCGCGAGCTTCGGAGATGACGTGCTTGTCCTGAGAAGCGTGTCAAACTTGCGTCAGCAGGCGGGCACACCGACCACTGCACCACCATGCTCACCTCGGTGAGCGACTTGTTCAGCTTCTTTTTCTTGGCATCAAGGTGCTTGCGCTTCTCTTGCAGCTGGACGTCTTCCCTCTCAAAACGCGCGAGCTCCTTCACCACCCTCTCTGTATCTTTCGCCACCGCTTCAAATTCGCGCAGCACCTCTTCGTACTCTGTCTCCAATGCTTGAATCTCGGCTTTGCTGCCCGCATGTTTTTCCTCTTCCGATTGTCGACGCGCTTCCAGCTTCTCGATAGCAGCGCTCGCCACTTTGATCTGATCGCGACACTCGAGCATGTACACTTGCCAAAGCGCCGATTGCCTCTGCACCAGCTCGTTTTGATTTCTCAAAAATTCTTCCGCCTCTTGCTTCTTGGCCTGCAGTGGCGGTATGAAGGTGTCAGCAGGTGGCCCACGGATCCGCGAGGCATTGTTTGACTCACCTCCAAGTTATCTTTCTCCTTTTGCACAATCTTGAGGCGGGCCAGGCGCTCGCTGCGGGCTTCATTGGCATCATCCACCATCTTTGCAGCTTCTTCGATTGGTCCCTTGTACTCGCTAGTGCCAATGATATCCTCGAGATACTCGAGCAGTCCCTCGTCGTGCTCCCCTTTGGCTTTGGGTGGCATCTGAGCAATGCTCTCGACCTCGCCCTGCAAGATCAAGAACCTCTTGTGGTCCAGATCGATGCCCCTTCCTCTCAGCAAGGTAGTGACTTCCGTAAAGTTGCTCTTCTTGCCATCGACCGAGTAGACGGACTGGTTGTTACGCATGGCGGTACGAGCGACGACGAGCTTAGTGCCGGGCACGACTTTGTATGCGTTGGGTCCAGGCAGATCGACAATCTCTCTGAACCACACCTCGACGGTGCAGCTTGGCAAGTTCTCTCGTCCAGCAGACAAGTGGATCAGCTCAGACAGCTTGCCCTGTCTCATCTTGTTGGCCCTCCAGCCAAAGACAAAGAGCAGAGCATCGATGACGTTCGACTTTCCCGATCCGTTGGGACCCACGACAGCCGAGAAGCTCTTGTGAAAGGGCCCAATCACTTGCGTGCCAGCGTACGATTTAAAGTCTTTTAGCACCATCTTGTGAATGGTCAGACGCGTCTTGGGAGCTTCCGGTGCTGTAGGTGCCGAGGGACGTCGAATGGAGAATGGTGTGCCGGCCACTGACAGGCCTGTGCGCGGAGTCGAAGGGACGCGAGGGGTCTGTGGTACACCTCCAGATGGGGTTCGACCTGCAGAGCTGGGTCTTTGAGAGCCCACCAGGGGCGCTAGCCTCGAAGGAGCGCCAGCTGTGCTGGGTTCACCGAGGTTAGCCAACGTGCCTGAGGCCCGAGAGGGCGGCGGCGTACGCGGACCTTCAGAAGCGACCTCCGCAGATGTCAGAGAAACAGAAGGGGTCCTTGGCGTGGCGCTCCTGTTGCTGCGCTGTGAAGCGCCGCTGACATTGCGCGAGGGCGGCTTAGACTTGGCAGCGGTAGGAACAGAGCGAGTCGAAGCGCTGCTAGGCTTCAACGCCGTAGCAGCTTTCTTGACCCGCGGTGCTTGGGGCGCCTCCTCCTCTTGCTCTTCTTCCTCTTCCTCTTCCTCCTCCTCCTCACTCTCTTCTTCATCATGTTGCTCTTCCGCGCTGTCGTTCATCTCCTCCTCGCTGCTCTCCTCCTTGACGGCCCGTCGACGAGAGGTGGCCGCACGAGGGGCACGCGCAGTGCGAGGCTTTACAATAGTCACGTCGGCCTCCTCCTCCTCGTCATCTTCATCCTCGTCATCGTTCGAGGCTGCTGATGCGATCGACGCCCGTGTGGATCTTTTTGTCGTGGTGGCAGCTGCTCTAGCAGGAGGTCGCGCTCTCGTCGTCCTCGAGCTGCTCTCGCTCGCGTTTGCCGTCGCAGCTCGACGAGGCGGCATCGTGTCGTGACAAGATTGACTCGTCGATGTTATGTGATAAGGGTGGCGATGGTGGTAGCAGATCTCGCTATCCCTTGGTCGCCGGTCGCCATTTCGTTAAGCCGTATACATGCCGCTCGGGGCACTCGAGGATTCAGCTTGCTGAGTTCCTCGCGCGGCAAGCTTTACCTGCAGATCGTCAAGCGCGCGAGTGCATGCATGCCGCGGCGGCCATGTTGATCTCTCGCAGCGAAACGCGTGTGCGCGCAAGATCTCATGCCAACGCGCGGCGCGCGTGCGCTCGACGCGCTTCTTTACTAGCACACGTGACTCGTCTGTTTCGCTTGCAGGTTCAAAATCTTGAATTACTCAAAAGTCGAGCAGAGTCAGCAAGAGTCGCGAGTCGCATGTGAGTCTTGAGTCAAGAGTTGCTGCATGGCAACCCGCCGACACTCAACAAGTTCTATCTGTAGTGACTAGCTGCATACATACAATTTTGAATCGTGAATATACATATACGTACGTGTGCGCTACAACGCCCGGCGCCATGCATGCAGCTGATTGCATGAGTAACCATAACTCACAACTGTTCCACCAAAGTCCGCTGATTGCGTTGAGCGTGAGACAGAGATGCGCCCGCCCCCTCCCTATAGCTCCTGAATCTGAACGCACCGAAGCTCAGATGTCAAGAAGAATTGCTGATCCATGAGTGTCGAATGGCGAGTCGAAGCATCGGATAATAGCTTTGAAGCTGGGTAGCAGCAGCCACAGCCACAGTCCGTCGTAGACATGTACCTATGAGTGTCGCCTCTAGCTACGCATACCACTGGTGACTTGCGCCTCGGCATGCCGGTCTGAGGAATTATCTCAGCACAAATCAATCAACAGAGCCGAACAAGCGCCACATTCGATTCACTCATTCACGACCGAGCTATGTAGCGCTTCATATGTACGGTAGCGGTATATGTACAGGCGAGCACCGCAAACTGGTCGCAGGAGCGGACGGACGCGTGTGCCAGCGTGTGTGCGTGTGCGCGGTATGTAAGGCGGTGTCGAGCAGGATGGCGCTAAAGCTTTCCAGCCGTGCCAAGCTTTCATGCGTGATGCGCCCATGCGCTGTGCGGGCGGCCAGATCAGCGAGACACGCTCGAGGGCGCGGGCGCGGGCGCGTGCGCAGGATGCAGTCAAGAATAAGTACATACAACGAGTCAAGAGTCCAAGTCTTAAGTCTTGAATCTGAATGGTCTTAATTGCGCCGCATGACATGACGAGCGAGCGCATATAACGTTGCTATAGCGTCCACTTATTCTTCGAGGCTGTGCTATGCACGCGCACGACTTCTCGATCCAATCTGCTGCTGCTGCTCTACACGCTAAGTCTTGTCCGTGCTGATCTTTTGCGTCCTTCTTTTATATTGCTTTGCCTGCCCGGTACGCGGCCAGCATTGGAGCATTCGATCGGGTATACGGCTGCATGCATGGCCTATAATAGCTACTACTCCGATCGAGTTGACTTGACTTTGATTGTGACTGACATGGGAACATTCACATTTAAAGCGGCACACATCTTTGGCACCCCCACGCTTTGTGCAAACCAAGCCTCATACACCTCGCAGCGCAAGACATTCATCCAGGGCTCCAAGCTTTGAACTTCACAATCCTCATACATCCTTCCCGCGAGCATCCGGTTTCCAATCGAAGAAACCAGCTTTCTTTGGCTTGCGGCTTCCCCTCAAGAAGACTTCAAGACGCACACGATACAATCACAATGGGAGACGTCGCCGCAGCAGACATCGGTGGAGGTTGCGTGAGTTGCAGCTTGCGAATGCGAGGAGAGGAGAGGCGGAGCGAACTCGAAGAGCGGGTGGACAGGCTGCTCACGCGAGCGTAATCCACCTCCTCGCGCTTTGGCTCATGGCGCACAGTGCGCAATCATCTGCAGCAGCATTTACTACTGGTTCAGTCTGCGTGAGTCATCGAGCCGCTTCGCTTCATTCCGAACAATCGAGCATCGCAGGGAAACTTCTCGCCGATAGAAGAGAGGGGGAGAGAGAGAGAGCGCACGAGCTCACACTATTGCGATCTTCTATTCAGGCGCTTGCGGAGCAAATTGCACGGCGTGCGATGCGTGCTGTCGCTGCAATTGCTGCTGGGATGCGGGAGAGTACGATAGGGAAGATCAAGAAGCCGGTCGGGTGCGAAAAGATGTCGCCGGTCGCCGAGGCACCAAGGATTCGGAACAGTTGCCAGCTTACAAAGCGCAGGAACCCATGTCCGTTGTCAAACCGGCCGACGAACAGAATGCTGAACCTGCCAGCGTGGTGCAGCAAGCGACGAGCCCTAGTGTCGCCCCAACCCAGACTGCTCAGACGGATGTTCCTCCTCCGGCGCCGGCACAACAATCATAGGTCCTTTACGCACAAGCTCGACCTGATTACCTGCCTTCAGGCCAGCCTTCTACATACGCAACGATTCCCAATCTTTCCCCCGACCAGAGAGACTGCTTGCTATCGCACTCGACGCGATTCCAGACTCCACGCCACGCACGACTCTACAACCTCGCAACTCGCACGCAGCTCGTAATCGACATCTTTAGCTGATACCTTTAGCTGGAAGGGGGCGTAATGCTGCTTCAATAATAAAACACAATGGTGATTACGGACGCTTCATTAAAGCTTGGCTCGGCATACTGTAGCGCCGCAAGAACCAGCATACCCGTTCTGAAATAATGAACAGTCTGAGCGTCTGTTCTGAAGAGTCTTGCTTTGTACCCGTATTCGTGAGTCGCGTACTTTGTCGATCAAGGTCCTCATCGAAGCACCATCATGTACGCACGGCGACGGCGCTTTCGACTTGGGGCGCAGCCGTGAGCCTTAGGTGCTTTTGCCGACCCCGCTGGATGCTGGATGATTCTTGGTTGCAGTCACACTCGTGAGTCTTGAGTCCGAGTCAAGTCACGAGTGAGTACATAGTAAGTCTTGAGTCGTGACTCAAAATTACGATCGACTCGTGATTGCACGCGCACGGATGAGTGCGAGTCTTTATAATTCAAATTGCAAGTCAAGCTTACGGCAATTCGTGATTGTGAGCGTCTCTATACCCGCGGCAAGCGCGCCTCCGGCACGCACGCGCGCATCTCCAATCAAGTCGATTCGTGATTATCATCACATCACTCACACTCACGCGAATGATCACTCGGCGCACCGCGTCATGCAAGAGGAGAGCGAATCGGTATATATAGATCGAGCGAGCGAGTCGTGAGTGTGAGAGGCGCGGCGCGTTTGATTGAAGTCATGCGATCACGAATCTGATCGATGAATGCCCCAAAGCGTCTGCGCGCACACATGCCCATCCCAGCCGCTGTCCATGCAGTCAGAGTCGATGCAGGTATATATACGGCCTGGTACAAGGCAGCGGCACGATCAAGCTCGCGTTGAGCCAGGCGGGCGATGAGCCCATCGAGAGATTGCTGCTCAATCAGGTCACGCGTCAGAAGAAGAGTCAAGAGTCAAATGTTCTGACAAGTCGTGGAGTCGTAAAATTTTGAGTGGTGAGTGTTGGCAAGCAAGGATACGCCTCCGGTAAACGGCGCTGCCAAATTCACATCTGCCAAAGTATTGACGCGCGTAGAAAGTCGAGTCCCACTCTGACTCACCCTTCACCATTGCGATATTGTGGACGCTATTCGCTTTGACTGCATACACGCTTGGCTCAATTCGAATCGAATGCGACTCTACGTCAAGACATTTCGCCTGGGCAATGCTTTCACCACAGCTTCACCGACGCACTCAAAGCGAGCCTTGGCTGTAGTCGCGCCTGGGCGTGTCCAAGCGAGCACGCGCACGAGCTAGGTAAGCCGAGTGGCTCCCTATCCGCATCCACTTGTGCGGCACTCGAAACCATTGCCATTGCAAGCGCCGTCGTGGATTTGGAACAGGCTACATTCAGCTCCGTCCTTTCAAACCACTCGTGACTATTTCGCGTACGCTGCCGCATCTGCACGAATCGGTGCGGCATGCCAGAGTACGAGCCGTGTGAGTGCGAGTCTCGGGCTTCGTCTGCACAAAGCGGAGCCCTTCTGTTGCAGTTGCTGAGCCTCACGCTGGCATTTCCGCCTTCACTCTACAGACGTCGCAGTGCGCGCATGTCCGGTCAAATGGCAATCGACCAAAGAAGCAAAGCATATACGGGAGCAGCGAGGCGCACAAGCAGCATTTTGTCCAGAGACGCCTCAGCGCATGCTAGACAAGGATGGCGACCATCTGGCAGGCGTGCGAATAACGGGCCCGCGGACGCAATGGAACAGGCACTGCATCATAAACATCTTTCGCCACTTTGGCAACATTGCCACGCTAGCATTTGCTCGACCCGCCTCACCTCTCGACCCTTCGCCGTACTGCCACCTCCACTTTGAGCATCTCGAATCTGCCAAGGCTGCTACCGAGAAATTTGGACCTGGCAAGGGCAAGAAGTGGTCGGCCAGGCTGCTGGAAGATGCCAGCAATCAAGCAGCTCAGCGCATACAATGGCGCCGTATGCTGGAGCAAGACCAACTCTTGATGCAATGCGAAAAGACCAGCATCGTCGTTTGCATGCTGGATGTCGCTGGAGTAGAGTCGCTCGTGGTCAGAGTTTGGCTTCACGATCTGCTCGATGCAGAGCCGAAAATAGACGCGATCAAATTTGACGCTTGTCTAGAGCAAGAGTACCTCACATGCACCTGGCCCAGAAGCGATTTACTGAATTGATAAACGTTTTGCACCGACGCGCTGCGCTTGCACAGCCAGCAGGGATCGATCAAACTCATGTTGACCCCGCAGGATGCTCTTGGAGTCGCCATGCTGCCCATCACGTTCGTGTTGCAGTACGATCGCACTGCAGTCACGCCTTCGAAGGCCTGAGCCAGCAGTCCGCTGCCGATTCAGTCTCCCACAAGGGCTCGTGGCCCATCCTGGCCAAATAGCGATCAGGCATTTGTATCTTCTGGACTCTCTCGTCCAGCTGCCCCATCATCTGGTCACGACAAAAACAGATACGTAACGGCGAGTCGGGTGAATCCTTCAGCGCAGCCACGAGCGCAAGGGGTCCCATCGATGAGCGCTCTCGACGCACGAGATGGGACCCTTATTCCAGCCGGACCGTCAGCCTGGACGGCTGCAACGCGGGCGGCATCTCCCGAGCGGCCCCGCGCTGCGGCGCCGCCATCAATCAGCGTGCACCATAGCTCTGTCGGCCAAAGGAAGCATCGCTATCCGACGCCCGTGGACGGAGATTTGCGATACTCTCGTGCGACGACTGTAGCGCTATCTGGAAAAGCAGCCTCGCGCGACTTGCCGCACACCGCTTCTGTCACATCTGCAGCGGCAGCGGCTCCCACATCGTCACGGAGCGAGAGCAGATCCAACGACGTGGTCGGACAGCTGGTGGAGATGGAGTCTGCGGAAGAACGCAGCATGAGAGCGAGGAATGAAAAGCTCCGTCAAGAAGTCAACACGTTGAAATTGGAGCGCGAGGTGAGCGAGCGAGCGAGATGAGGAGCGTCTGCGCTTTGTAGGACCTGATCGCATCAGCATCTGTGCGATCTGCAGAGACAAGAGCTGTTGGCGGAGCTTGAGCGGGAGAAGTGCAAGTTGCAGCGAGTCATCCGAGCGAACAGCTATAGTAGTCCTCATCGACCACTGCAACGCAAAAATGCCGACGTAGGCTTATCGGCCTCTGGCGGTACCGCTGACGATTCGGCTGTGGCCGAGCATGAACCTAAGCCGCAGCTAGACGCTTTTTCGGACGAAACGAGAAACGGTAATGCGGATGAGCGGCCACAATTTCTGAAGGAGCATGACGAGCGACAAAGCACGAAGGCGGAGATTCCTTTCGCAGGCAAGCTCTGCCCCGACCGTGTGAGGCTTGAAACCAATAAGCGAGCCTCCACCGAACGGCCAATGGACGAGCAGCGCCCCTCCAAAACTCGCTGTAAGAGTCCCGGAAAAGAAGATACGAAGTTGGAAGGGAGCAAGACGACCGTTGATAAGCGTGCTTGTAGAGAGCGAGAGAGGATTCGCGGCGAGCGCGAGGAAGAAGACAGATACATCTACCAGACGGAGCATCGTGATAGACGCCACCATTCCAAAGATCAACGTGGATCTGACGAGGCAGAGAAAGGTCGCACAAGCAAGAGTGAGAGATCTCGTGAAGACGAGCGAAAAGACCAGCGATCGAGATCGCCCGCCCGAGCAAGACGTTGCTCGTAGACGTCGTCGCGAGCGAGTGAATAAGTAAATTGTCCAGGTTGAAGCATGCCCGTTCTTGGGAACCACGGCTGCAAGAATGAGCGACAAATTTTCGAGCGCTAGCATTCTCGTCCCGACGTAGCGATGTAGGCCAAAAACAAAAGGTAAGATGCAGCGCCTGCACAGAGCTTTGCCAATCCCATCACCCCTTTAGACGATACCTGCCCTTGAGCGTGCGTGTTGGTGTTTGCGACACCTCCGCACGAATGTGAGCATGTGAATTTTTGCGCGCGTGCGCGCGCGCATCCTACCGAATATGAGGGCTTTGAGACGGCCTGCTGCTGAGCCCATTCGCTAACGCCGCACCATCTATCGTTCAGTCGCGTCGAGACGATGCGCATCGTGCATGTCGCTTCCTTTCTGCATCATACTGCGAATGTCGAGCAGGCCAGGGAGGGACTGGACAGAAGGTTGCTCATGGGTGCATGTTCGGATGTCGATTCGGGGTGGTCGTGAGTATGGAGCGTGGAAATTGGATATCGGTTCGCACTGGGTCGATCGAGCGCTTGATCATGACCTGCTGCAGGGGTACGTCGAGGCATGTGTGTTCGATAAAGTCACAACATCCTCGATGAGTGCGTGCACAACGCGGGTCAGATGTGGATGATATAGAGAGCAATTGCAGTAGTCACGAGCAGCATGGCAGTCACGAGTGCTGCGTGTAGAAGCAAGCATCACAGATCACACTCCTTTACAGTCAGAGCTCCACTCGAGTCGCGCGCTGATCGAAGGCCCGTGAGTGTCTAGCTGTTCCGACTGGCACGGGAGGACACTCATGAGACGCGCTGTAGAGAAGACGCACGCGTTGCAATCTGAATCTGAATGGGATGAGTCTGACACGAGCAGCCTTGTCTGCACAAAGTCTCACGGCGGCGTAACAGACTGTTGTAAAGGGAGCACGCGGCGGTTATCCTGGGCAGATTCAAGACTACGAAGCCACATCGCGCTGTGACGCCCTCTCGCAAACGAGCTCAACGGTCGCTTCAGTCGAGCTAGGATGCATCTGAATCAATAGTCAATCGTCAAGGTGCAACGCGGCGGTGTGCCCAGGGTTGCTGCTGCGGCATCAACTGTGAGACTGCATGGTGCATGGCAAGTCGAGGACATGACTGGTGATGGATTGCATGATGGGGAGTCCAAGCCTTGTCGCCGACGGACTTCCAAAGTTGATCCATGCTGCTGCGCACAAGCCTCGGCGCTTACTGACTCAAAAATTACATCATTTCATTCACGATTGTGATTCAACTCGTGCATTGTGATTGGGACGGTACGCTCTTGATTGCTGTTCCTGTACCTGCCGCGGCCGCGGCTGAAAGTGGGTCGTGCGATTGCTGCTGCCCATGCGCATGCGGTCAAGTCGCGCGCGTGTCGATGAGCACTGAGCGCGTAGAGCCCTCAGAACCCGTCGGTGACTGCAAGGTGACTCGCTCACTCAGGCAATAAGTCAGGAAAGACGCGGACCGCCGCATTGATTTTAAAAGTCAATTTCATCTCAGACCAACACACAACACCACTCTTCAAACGCGCTGCCGGCGGATCAGCGCAGTCGAGCATCGTCAGCAGCTGCTCTGCTCATTCGGGCGATGATGGAGGGAGGCCAAACGTACCTCTATTGGCCTTTGACTACCGACAAGATATTAAGCTGGTCAGTATGTGCTCTGCACTAGGCTTTCGAATGGGTCCATGCCCCGCGATCCGCGTACAAGTAAACATGCAGTAAGAAAGTTCAACTGCGCCCCCTTGCTCAGCGACCAGCTTCGAGTGTCTCTTCCACATCTTCCTATTGGCAAAGCAAGCCAAAAAGACCCTAGGAATTACAGAACAGAGCGGCAGTCCCTGGCTCTTCTCCACGCATTCGGTAGCCACAGCGCGTCTGAAGAGTCCATCGATGGCTTCTGCGCTCGCTCATCAACGTCATCTGGTCGCTAGACACCTTGAATGCAGAGTCCTCGCTCGCTCACTGCAAGCAGCGGCGATCATCTCTTCACCTTGCACGTGGGAAGTAGACCGAGCTGCACGGACCTGCCGGCGAACGCCGGACAGGTCTACCTGACAACTTTGAGCCCAAGCATGCCGCATTACGAGAATTGTGAGTAGCCAAAAAGGTGAAGACTGACGCAGCCATTCTCTGTGCATGTATGCTGTGCAAGAGGCTTACCGCGCATGCATGGCCTTCGCAGACGTGAGGGTCCGAGCTTGCGCGAGCGGACGTCACGAGACACCAAGCGCTTCATCGTCGCAAGCCGAAGTGACGTACTGCTATGAATCACCGCAGCGTCTATTGAGCAACATCAATTCGGTCGAATCCTTCTTCCTGCGCATCAAGGGTCCAGCTGCCTCTCTCGACGAGCAAAGCCTGCGCGAAACATTTGGACAGGTGGACAGCATACGTTCGATCGCCTACGCACAGCCTAGAAGCCTCTCTGGTCAAGCATCGCACTGTCATCTGGAATATGCCAATCTAGCAGCAGCTCAGACGGCGGCGACAAAGTTCAACGGACGACTGGTCTTGGGGGGCGTTTGGTCAGTGAAGCTGCTCAACGACACTTGTACGCTGCCCGACTACACCTCGTGGGGTCAGCTCCTCGAGAAAGACGAACGTCTGGCCGAACGTTGCACTGCCAAATCCGGACCGCAAGGCGTCTACTTTGCGAAGGTGGACGTGTCAGGCTTGCGGTGCTTTACGCTCCAATTTTGGCTCGCGGACTTGCTCAGGCCAGAGTATGGAGTCGAGGCGATCAGATTCGATATTACGATGGATGACGAGACGCAAGACTTGACGTGTACTAGGACGAGGAGGGGTCTGCTTCGAGAGAGCCCCTTTTGCACCGAAGAGATACCTCTTCACAAAGATCATGGACTCATCAAGATCTTTTTGAGTCCCCAAGACGATTGGCAAAGACCCTTGCCGCGCATAGCATTTGTGCTAGAGTACAGCACCCAGCACTTTCGCAGCCACACCTGGCGAGCGACGAGTCGGTCTTCATCTCTCACTGAACGGGCACCAGCTCAAGAGGTGATGCGAGTGTCAAATATGCCAGGTGGGCCTTCGTATAGTCTCAGAGATACGAGTCGGTTACCGACGTGTATCGAAACGTGCAACGGTGCTGACGGTCAAGGCGCACAGGCCTTGGTGCCTTCAGGGGTTCCATGTGCCGCGGATCTTCGAAACGACGTGCCTTGCGTGCACCCACCTCGACGGGAAGAGAAGCTGGGCAAATATTCGACGGGACCGGAAGAAGAGGCGCAGACGCATTGGTCGAAGCGCCTTCCTCTACACTCGCAGGTCGAAGCTGAGCGCGCTGCGCTAACGAAACCGAGCGCTAGCCATGCTAGAGAAAGCAGCGAGGAAGGAGAAGTCAGCAATGATGGTTCGAGTCGCGTTTTTGAGCCTTGCACGAGGTTCCAGACCCCGAAAAGCACAGAGAAAATTGCGCATCCCTCCAGCCACCTCGACGCGCGACCAGCCAGGAGCGATGCCCAGGTCCAACGAAGCATTTCACCTGAAAAGGTTGCGAAGGTGGCCGCCCGAGCACAAGTTGTGGAAGTCATCGATACGATCACGTCAACCGAATCGGAAAGACAACGCCAGCTACGAGAACAAAACGAAAAGCTTCGACAGGATATACAGGAGCTGAAGCTGCGGCGCGAGGTGAGCAGAGGTCAGAAAGGAGCGGAGCTTGGCGGAGCTTTACATCTTGACGATGCGCCACGTACCGCACTCATACAGAAGGAGCAGCTGACGACGGAGCTTAGCAAAGAGACAAGACAATCAAGAGGTTTCGATGCTACCTCGTCTACGCCGCCCAAGCTGCTTCGACGCAAAAGGGATTACGATGCTCGAAGCGTCTCGGAGATCTCGCACGCGCGTCGATCTGCATCCGCCGAGGCGATGGCGGGAAGAGATCATCATCGGCCCGGACCTGATCCAGCATCTCACCGACCTAGAGATGTGCAGACCGATCGAGCGATCCAACGCCGGGAGTCTGCAAGATTTGAACCGCTCTCGCCTGGAGGTTTCATCCGTCCAGAAGGTGGAGAGACTGGGAAGGCGCGCCGACGTCAAGCTTGGGATCGACACACGCCCGAATGGAGGCATGACACGGGAGCTACCATGGACGAAGTCGATCGGTACGGCTATGATTCGAGAGATCGATGCAGAGATTCCGCCCCTGAGGCTGAAGACCCTCGGATGTATAGACGTAGAAATGGACGTGAAGATTGGACAAATTACCGTCCTCGATCTCGCTCGCCGATAAGACAGTCTCATCGCATGCGCAATGCATGTTGAGTTGGCTTCCTGGTGCTCGCTGCCGTACTGTGGCGAGAGCTGGGGAGGAGGTAAGACGAAGAGCAAGGCATTGCGCGCTCCCGAATGGGCTTCTCAATCACGAATCTCGCACTACAAGACACGACGTGCATCCCCGTCCGCGACCGCTCACGTGACGGTGCATCGTGTCATACCCTCATCGCGCTAAAAACAAAAAAAAAAAATCCAAGAAGAGTTTTGATTGCCTGTCCGCATGCCCTTATCAAGCTGCAAGGCGGCCCGTTCGTGGCTTGCATTCCCAGGCTTCAAGACAGGAGAAGAGTGATGAGCCTCTGTTGCACCTTACAGCGCCCGGTATCATATGGTCGTCGTCACCGATGAGCTCGACCAAGCCCGTGCGGCGGCGCCAAGTCAATATGCATAACAAGCTATGGAAGGCCGGTCCTGGACCGAAATGAAGGGCACGCGTTCCCTTTTGTGCACTTTGAGGCTTCTGTCAGAAAGGAATTTCCGGATCGCCACGAGTGTGTGTGTGTGGTCCAGGACGTGCCGTGGTGGAGTAAAGAGCTGACCGCGCGCAAGCTTACGAAAGGTCGGACGAGACTTGATCCCTTTTTTCCCCATCGCACATCATCCCGCGAGAAAAAAGCTCGTCTAACACTGTGCTAGAGAGGCGTTCAAGCAAGTCGCAATCCATTTGCAGTGATGCCTTGCTACAAAAGGCGTGAGTAGCACGAATCTGTAAAGGCTTCTTTATCGATCCGTTGATGAGTCACTACTTCAGTCATCCAGGTGCACGCTTTCGGGACTAGCAGAGCTCGCAAGGGTGGCGAAGCTGCGCGCAACTTCGATCTTGCAAGGATGGACAGTCTGCCAGAGACGGATCAAGTATGCTTGGGGAACAACATGGCCTATTTCCATGCGGTATACGTTCGAGGACCTCATCACGTCATCCACGAAGCGACACTTCGAGAGTGGTTCAGCTCGATCGGTACCGTCGTCGAGATGCGCTTTCCAAAGAGTTGCCGCCAACATCCCTACCTAGCGTACTGCTTTGTGACATTCGCAAACGCGGAGGAAGCGCAGCGAGCCATCGCAAGATATCACCAGAGCCCAGTGCGGGGCGGCGGTAGGCTGAACGTGAAGCCTGACAGGTCAGACCGTAAAGCACTCGAGCTGAGCCTGCGGATCCTCGATGGAGCCGAGCAGCACGTACACCGCGCGGTCCTCGAGCAGCACCGCGGCTGTATCTTCCAGACTGAGGTCGAAGCGGTCGAAGTTGAGGCGGTCATCATCGCCATCGAAGCGAGGCAGCTGCTGAGATCGTATCCCAAGATCGCCCGTCTGGTCGTAACGATCACGAAAAAGGGTGACAAGAGCTTTCGCCGATCCGTTCTTCGTGAGGATCTGCTCCAAGAGCCTTGTTCCTTGACCGTGCCCCTCGACGGACAGCAGGACGAAATCATCAATGTAATTGTGGAGCCTCGCTACTACGAAGCACGGCCTGGGGTAGAGGTCTCTCCATTGCCTCCTCTGATCGGCTTCGTGCTCCATATTCGGGATGGAATGGTCCGCACCGCAAAAAGCAGAAGGCTGCCCGAGCCCAAGCCAGCTGTGCAAGCCGACTCTCCGACCCATCGAGACTTGCCGGCCATTGCTTTGCGCGAGGAGAGGAATTCTGCACCGGTCGAGAATGCCGACCGATCAAATCCCTCGCAGTCAATCTCACGGAGGCTAGCCGCCGCTATTCCCAGCTCTGCAGACACCCGCGTCCCTTTCGTGGACCGCATTAGCGATAAGCGCGCAAGAGAGCCAGAAATTCGACACAGCGACGAGGATTGGTGCAGTCAAAAGCCCGGGAGGGAAGCTAGATGGACTGAGCGCGAGGATGCAGATCCGCGTGAAGGAGACTCTGCGCGGAAGCGCATGCGACACTTGCCAGTCGAAGACGCTCCAAGTCCGCACGGCTACCGACGCAGTGCGACTGTCGAAGAGAAGTGGGACCCGAGCAATGAGCCAGGAATCGCTCCTTCTTCAACGTATAGTCGCGCATACGAGCCACCGTCTCTGCCGTTTGTAGGGGAGATGCACAGCCGCAACACGTCAGAGCCGCGGTCTGCAGGTCCGCTTGATCCGCAAAAGACGCTGATGGACAAAGAGGCTTTGCAAGCAGAGAATGAGCGGCTGCGAGAGCAGATCGCGTTGGCAAAACTGAAACGAGAGGTGAGCTTTCTGCTGCAGGCTTTTCAGCACATCTCTGATCGAGTGCTGATCGCTGTGCGTATTCCGTGGGTCAACCGAGTAGCAAGAAGGGTTACTGCTACAATTGGAGAGAGAGCGCGAGCTAGCAAAGATTGCGAGCTCCACTACAAACCGTCAGACGATCCCTACACCCCTGTCCACTCCCAAACGGGGCTCGCAGTCTCAAGATCGACCTACTACTGGACGACATTCGCTAGTCTCACCTGCTCTCAGCTCTTCGCAACAGTCACTGGCTGCTAGAAGATATGATAGCAGAACTCAAGCGCCGAGCAAGAGCCCAAGAACTCCAGAATTTAGGTGACGAGCGACGTAGTAGTGGTGGTGGTAGTGCTGTTCTTGGGGAGTTTTGATAGGATGCAATTCCCCGGAAACGCGATGCCCTGCTGTGAATGCGCGAACCCATCTCAAGAAATGCCATACTGTGCAGAAGCTCGACCAAGACCGCTACGAATTCCTCCGATCAAAAAAGCTCCTTGATCAGCTTGTGTGTGTGTGGTGGTGTGTAAGGCATAACATCTCACTCCACCCGTCCGACCACGCAAGAGCTAGAGGAGCAACCAAACGCCCGCAGCGCTCTTGTTGTCACGTGATGTAGAATGCTGCATGGACGTGCATGCATCAGCAGAGCTTCGCGCAAAAACAAAAATCTGCAAAGGCCGCTGCTGCGCGGCTGAGAAAGTCGAGAATTTGAATGCGCTCGCTTGCGTGTTAGGCCCATCAGCAGCAGCAGCCGTGAGTCTGAGTGGCATGTGGCGCAATGGCTGAATTGAAACAGGAACTTCATCTTTTGAAATCTCGAATTCAAAATTCGATAGCGCGCGCGAATTTGAATGACGTCGACTCGCTTGCTCTGCATGGCATCGTAATGACTCTTTGACTCGCGTGAGGGGGGAGGAGGATCCCGGCGATGCAGGTTGGCCATCCATCATCACGTCAACTACAGCTTTGCAACACCACCCCCGTCATAGGATCCTGACACCAGACGCAGTGGCGCCGGAAAGCTTGATACTTCATACAGCATTCGGAACTTTGCTCCTGCATCGAATTCGTTTCTTCCACTCGAACAAGGAGCGAGCAAAAAGTTTTCACCATGCCCAAGGTGCGTGTGGATGGTCAGCAGTGAGGTGATGGAGAGAAGGGTCTGAAAGTCGAATGGTAGATGGGCCAAGCTAGGAGACTGGCAGGGTTCGAGTCGTGAATGCGATGAAAGCACGGGTGATCAGGTGCGCTGTGGAGAAGCGGAAGAAGTCGATGAGACGGGATGTGGCGCCCTTCCATTTGCGTTTTCACGCTTTCTCCCTCGAGAGATGTGCAAGTGACACTACAATAGCCTTCGTCTTCCTGACACTAGCGTACCGCTCACTCTCGGCTTTCAGGCGCTGACACAATCTTCGCACCCCTCTTTGCCTGTACATGCTAACGCAACCCGACCATCCCACCGGCTCGCCACTTCCATCTAACACCTATCACACCATCTCGCCTTGCCTGCCTTGGCGATCACTTAGAACAAGGGAAAGGGAGGAAAGAATCGTAGACGTGGAAAGAACGAGAACGAGGGAGAGAAGAGGGAGTTGGTCTTCAAGGATGAAGGTCAAGGTGAGTCTTCGCAAGGGAAGGGAAGGGTGAAGAGGTGCGAAAATTTAGCGTGGCGAGGCCAATCATACCGCCTGGCGGGTGGATGAATGCCTGTGCCGCAGAGATTCGAGTCCACCGTCGGATAGAGGCTCATGAGACTGACTTCTGACTCACGCGCTGGTGCTCGCCTCATTCACGCCTTGCAGAATACGCACAGGTGCTCAAGATGCTGGGTAATGGCAGACTAGAGGCGCAGTGCTTTGATGGAGAAAAGAGGCTGGCGCACATTCGAGGAAAGCTGAGAAAGAAGGTGAGTGGTGTGCTGTCGATGTACAGCATTTGCAGGGGTGTGTGTGTGCGGCATGTATGCGTCGTGCACTAGGCACCTAGCCTATGATGCAAGGAAGGAGTGCTTGCGCTGACGTGTAGCTGACACCGCACCTGCGTGCACGCATTTTTTGCAGGTGTGGATCAACCAAGGAGACATCATCCTCCTCTCTCTGCGCGACTTCCAAGATGACAAGGCGGATGTGATTCAAAAGTATTCGGCAGACGAGGCGAGGGACTTGAAGCAGTACGGCGAATTGCCTTCGGATGCCAAGATCAACGAGACGGACACGTTTGGTGGAGAGGATGGAGAGGACGATATCGAATTCGAAGAGGATTCGGGCGACGAGGATGAGGATCTGGATGATCTTTAGAGCGCGCGCGCGCGCATGCGCGCAAGGGCGACCTCGCTGTCAAGTCTTCTTCACTTTGCGATCATTGTCCGCCTGGTTTACGCCTCGTGGTGCGCTCTGCCAAGAGGCGGGACTTGTCCATCTCCTCCCGACTCCCATGGTCTGACCTGCTGTACAGCTACGTCGCGCTGCGTTCCACTCGTGCTACGGCATAATTTTCAGTATTCTCAGCCGTTCTGTCTGTACACACACACACGCACACTCCCAAAATTCGATTCATGATCATCGGCAATAGGTGTGAACGTGATGAGCGAAGTAGACGGTCAGTAGTCACGAATGGTGGCTTTGCGACTCGCTTCTCTGACTGGCTTGATCGTGGCTGTCGCTACCTTTCAGCCTGGCGAGCGGATCCTGATCAGCCTTCGCTAGGCGCTACTTGCAGCAGCAGCAGCATGGGTAGTGATCTAGAATGAGGCCATCTAGCACAACTTCGGCAAGCCCCTTCGCATCTTTCCAAGTCCAAGTCCAAGCAACTCTCAAACTCGCTAGCTACGCGCCAAAGACACTCGAAAGTTATGTATACCACTCAGTGTGAGGATTCTTTTTTGAGAGAGACGTTGACAGGGTGCTTGCGAGACGGGGACGTGGACGGGGACGTGCGTGACATGCATGGGCCGATGCGCTCTTGTGTCGAGAGAATGTGTGTGAAGAGAAGCGATGGGGCGGGATGGTGCAGACGCCCACCACTCCTGCTGGACTAAGCTGATATGCACTCTCTTGGCATTGTCCGATCGTGCCGGCGAGCGAACGAGCGAGCGAGTCGTAGACTCGGGCTCTGGCCAACTCGTGCCATGCTGAGGCCTGGATCAGCATCGTGGCCAGCAAGTCGAGATCTGCTTTTTGGAAGAGTCGCAGTTGATCGCGACTCACGGGGTACCTCGCGCGACTTTTCGCGACTGCTCGCCGTCGTCGTCGACGACGACGACGACGGCTTGACGGATGGTGTGTGCGTGATTCAAGGTGGCTGGTCTCTCTCCTCGCCATCCATCCGAGGGGGAAGCGCTGATGTGCGCCCAGCCAGCAGCACCCACGCCTGCCGCGCTTAATTGCTTATTCGTTGCTTGCTCGCTCGATCGCTCGCTCGCTCCCTCAAGCAACACACACGCCCGATGCCGCGTTCCGCGTGGATGGATGGATGCATCTCTCGCTCGAGATCGGGCGGGCGCGGCGCGAGGCGTCGTATACGCGCAGCGCCGGCCGGGCGGTATACATATATGCGGCCTTACGCGCTATAGATTCGCCCAACACCGCGCGACGCGACGCGCTTGCGCTTTGCATATGCTGATGCGTGGGTGGAGAGGGTTGCGTTGTGTGACTTTGCGCGTCTGCTGGTTGAAGTCTGACACCACTGGGACATTCCCTCTCTCTCTCTCTCCTCTTCCTCTCTCTTCTCTCTCTCTCTCTCTCTCTCTCTCTCTCTCTCTCTCTTTCTCTCTGTCTCTCTGCACACAAACCCACTTCTGCTGGCCCTGGCCCCGCCGACTGCTCAGCCTTTCTTAGCCAGCAGGGTAGTAGGCACGCGAGAACGAAATGGTGCTGATCACGCGGCCACGAGGAGCAGGAGCAGGAGGCGGAGGTCTGGGCAAACCAGCGCTGGATTACGGTTCAGCGTACGAAGAGATCCTTCGCAGTTCACGAAGCGCATCCAGCATAGCTGGAACTTCCTCCGCTTCTTCTGCCGTGCTGCTGCTGGTGGATGGTAGCGTAGATGGGGTCTGTGCAGCTCGAGCATTGGCCACGCTGTTTAGGGAAGACGAGGTGGCGCATAGAGTCGTGCCTATTGATGGATATGCTAGTCTGGAACAAGTCGTCAGGGAAGATGTGGTGGGCAATCTAGCGTGTCATACGCTCGTGCTGCTCAACCTTGGTAGCTTGCTCAGCTTGCCCAACTACTTTTCCACAGACGAGGAGCGCGAAGAAGAGGAGGAGGAGGAGGAAGAAGAAGAAGAGAGAGGATTGCGACTCCCTCCGCATTGCAAGGTTCACCTCGTCGATTCTCATAGACCCTACAATCTCGACAACGTCTTTGCTACTTCGGCACTCATGTCGCGCATCTACGTGTGGGACGACGATGAAGCGCTGGAAAGACTTAGGAGAGAGGGCGAAGCTTACGAAGCGCTGGAATTTGAGCTTGATAGCGAAGACGACGAGGACGACGACAGCGCGTCTGAGCAGGAAGAGAGCGATGAAGAAGATGCAGAGCTTCTGCCGAGCGAAGACGAGGATATCGACGCGTCATCTGTGGCCGCTTCCACGAGCAGACGAAAAAGACGCAAAATCGCCCTCTCGTCTGATGAGGAGGAAGAGGAAGAGGAGGAGGAGCAGTACGGCTCCGACAAAGAGCCCCGGAAGAGCTCTAAAGCGCCGAGGAGTAGCAGAAAGGAACGCTCGAGCAAAAGATCGAAACCTTCTAGACCTGCTCCAGCCGCAATGGCTAAACATAGGGCGGTGCTGTCGCGATATTATGCTCGAGGCACCGGCTACGGTCTGCCAGTCTCGCTCATCATGTGGATGCTGGCAGAGAGGCTTGGTCGGAGCGATAACGAGGGCTTGTGGTGAGTTGGGGTGCGTGATCGCACCTGCATGTCCTGCTCGCTGACACGATAAGCAACGCCAACCTCTGCAGGCTCGCGATTCTGGGACTGACATCGCAATACTTGACTAGCTCGATCGATGTGGAGCACTACGAAAGGGTAGCTGCGCTACTGGCCAGCGATGTGCGCGCTTTGAATCCGAGCACGACTGCAGATGGCGTATCGGACGAGTCGGCAGTGAGGCAGAAAGCATCTGGAGGTCTGGCGGGCAGGGCGGTGGACGCGGACGATGGCCGAATACGCGTGCTGGACAAGGAGCTGCGCTTCACCTTGTATCGTCATTGGAGTCTGGAAAACGCCATGTACCACTCATCCTATGTCGCTGGCAAGCTAAGCATTTGGCGAGAGAGGGGTCTGGCCCAACTTAGAGGATTTATGGCCAAGATGGGCTTCTCTTTGGCGCAGTGTCGACAAACCTTTGACCATATGGATTTGGACCTTCGAAGAACGCTGGTGGACAAGATCGAATCCATCGCGCCAGAGTATGGCCTGACGGAGTGCGTCTACGCTAGCTTCTTAAGAAGCTACGGGTATCAGAGCAGTCCGCTGAGCGCTGCGGATATCGTGGAGGGATTGGACGCGCTTCTTTGCGCAGCGCATGGTGTGCGCATCGAGGTGGATGCGCCAGGATTGACCTTTGCCGGAATGGGCGTGGGAGCGGGAGGTCAACAGGGCGCTTATGCTGCTGCTGTTGGTCAAGGAGCGATAGGCAGCGAATTGTTCGGCAACAAGAGGTTCTGGAACCTATCCGGTGGCGTTGCGCCGCGCATCGAAGGGCGAATCGAGGCGGACAAGGCGCAGGACAAGGAGAATCGAGCACCTGGAGAAGGGCAGACGAACGCCTTGCAGAAGGAGCAAGCGGGCGGCGCAGTTGCTGAGGCTCTGCAGGAGGCAGAAGCGGTGGCAGCGCAGCACAGCTCTCGCAACGCTCAAGCAGACTGGACAAGAAGCTTCTTTGCGGCCTACAATGCTCTCGACTCGAAAAAGCCAGCCAGGTGAGCAGCGCGGCAGTTCGATCGGCGTGTTGTAGTTCGGTCGCGCTGAATTTTTCAAATGCTGCCATCGCCGCACAGCGTCGCCTTGTTGCGCTCCTCTTTGTCCTTGTCCAAATCTCTGCATCGCTCCATCATCTCCCAGGGCGTGGCGCTGATCGACAAGCAAGCCATCAAGACGCTTCGAGGCTTCCGCCTGGCCGTACTAGGTGACGGACCGGATTTGCCGCTATTTACGCACCCCAACGTGCTTTCACGTCTTGCGCTGTGGCTCGTGGACGCCTTGCGGGATCTGGTAGCGAAGCAAGAAGCATCGCGCAGGGAGGCCAAGCGTCGACGCAAAGGATCCGCGGTGGGCGGTGGAGATGGCGAGATGACGGAAGAGATGATGGAAGCATCATCGAAGAGCGCTACTCAGGGATTGCCCTTCGTCCTCGCGGCGCTGGACGAGAGGAGGGATAGGTTCGTCGTTGTCGGACTGACGGGATCGACAGAATTTGGGGATACGAGGAGAAATCGGTTCGGCTTGGCTTTTCAGGAAGCGGCTAGTCAGTCTGGAGCTAGGACTAGACATGACCAATTCGACACGTCGGCCATCGAGGTTCGCAAAGACGATCTGACTGCTTTCATCGAGAGACTGCATGTGCGCGCTTGATTCGCGCAGCGCGAACCGATGCTCGCACCTCCCAGCCTCCCCGTTGCTTCGTCCGCACACCGCCTTGCGGTATCGCTTTCCCTCCCACCACCTTTCCAATCTCTTGTCCCCCTCTCGCGTACCTTTCATTGCAGGGCACGCTGCATTCGCATAATCTGTCAAAATCACATCTACGCATTTGACTCGGCAAGCACACAATGATGAAGCAACATTTCATTACGCTTCTCTTCGTGATGAGCAGCTTCTGTCGCGAAGAGGTGTTTGTCTGGGCTTGCGAAAATGGGCAAAGCCTGGGGGGGAGCGCAGAGGGATAGGGTGCGAGACGCCATGTCAACGTGCCGGTGCTGCCGTATTTGATCGACCCTGCGATTGCGACGAACTTGCCAGTGGTCGAAGCGTTCAAAGCATATGAATCGAACGAGAGGAGGAGGAAGAGGCGGGGGCTTGGAGATCGGAGCGACACGCCCGGCTGAGGGTGTTGATGCAGATCGAGCGCATCAGCGTCCGAGCGCCCTGGCGCGTGCCGTCCCTTGCGCAGCAGCAGGTCGCGACAGTTGGAGTCACGCATGCGCGCGCAATGTGCCTGCTGAGTGCAGGAATCAAGATTTGAGCGTGGCAAGTGGATGTGTTCCTGAGTCAATCGAGTGCATGTTCAGCTCTTCTCACCTCCTCCTCCATCCTGCACGAACAAATCTATGCTCTCAACAGCCTTCGCTAAGCTCTGCTTGCCATCTCCATCACGACCATCGACGAATCACGCGCAACTCTCATCTACCTTTGACCTACAACGCGCCGCCCGCCTGAGATTAGACGAAGCTGGCAGCGCGTCACTCTTGACTAGTCGCTCCTTGACCTTGCCACAATCCCCTGTCCCGAAGCTGCGCATTCAAGCAGGGCAGCTTTGCACCAGGAAGCCAGACCCCTCGCAAGCATCGAGCTGCAAGTCGAGGCACGCAATCGAGAAAGGTCTTGCAGCTTTTTTGAAAGGGAGACAAGATGGGTGAACGAAAAGGTGAGCCCGACGAAGTGTTTCTGATCTCTCCGGGGCTTTGCCCACCTCCTCATCTGCTGACCACGCGCCATGTCCTCTCTCTATCTGTCTCTCTCTGTGTGTGTGTCTGCGATCCGCGCTTGGCTCGCAGTGCTCAACAAGTACTTTCCGCCCGAGTTCGATCCTTCCAAGATCCCTCGTCGTCGTCAAGCAGCGGACAGGCAACAAGAAGTGCGTCTCATGGCTCCCTTTTCCATGCGATGCAACACGTGCGGCGAGTACGTGTACAAGGGCAAAAAGTTCAATGCGAGAAAGGAAATGGTGATGGGAGAGACGTATTACGGCATCAAGATTTTCAGATTCTACATCAAGTGTCCCACTTGCTCGGCAGAGATTACCTTTAGGACGGATCCGCAGAATACGGATTACAAGGCGGAGCATGGAGCCAGTAGGAATTTCGAACCTTGGAGAGATGCGCAGGCGGCAGAGAATGATCCGGATAGGGATCCTTTGGCTCATCTGATCGAGGAGGAGGACAAGGATGAAGAAGCGGATACGATGGCTGCGTTGGAACAACGCACGCTGGATTCCAAGAGGGAAATGGAGATTGCGGATGCGCTGCAAGACATCCGAACCAGGAATGCCAGGTTGGACAGGGTGAATGCGGATAGCGTGCTAGATTCTTTGAAAGGCAAACAAAGAAGTATGGATCCGGAGGCAGAGGAGCGAAAGAGGGCAGAAGAGGAGGATGAAATTTTGGTCAGAAAGTATTTTAGCAGGGATTTGGCTGCTGCAGAGTCGATCGCGAAGGAGGAGCAGGCAGTGAGCAGCGGCTCGAATGGCGATGCAGGTACCGCCTCTGAAGACCTGCCTGGTGCATCTTCCACGACGGGAAGCGCAGCCAAGGTCGTCAAGCGCGCACACCCAGATGAGCAAGGCGAAGATGCGGAGCCGGACTACAAGAGCTTGCTATCCAAGGAACTTCAAGCCCAACTTCAAAACTCCAAGAACGTCATGCTGGGCAGCAAGGCGGTCAGCTCGTCGTCGTGGGGTGGAAGTGGAGTCAATGGCAAATTGGCAAACGGGCTAAGCGTCTCAGCTCCACCAAACAAGCGCAAAAAGAACACTTCGGCCTTTGGCATCGTTCGCAAGAAGACGTAGCAGAACAGACTCACCCCCGTTGATCCCACGCTCTCCAAGCCACCAATACTGTACACTATCATCGGCCTCGAGATCAATCAGATTCACGTCAGTCGACTTTTTTCAAACGCAAGCGAGGTGTGCGATCGTCGAGCAAAAGCATGTGATTGAGTGGACTGTCGTTGTATACACGAAAGAGTGCACGTGAATGATACCACACGGCGTCCGCCTTGCTCGCACAGACGAGGTGCACACTTTTGCGCGTGCGCCTCCGACGGAAAGCTAGTACTCGTCCGCCTTCGTCTGTGCCATCTGCGCCTTGATCTTTTCCTCCCTGTCCAATCTTCTCTGATGCATGGCTCTCAAAATGTGTTTTGTCTTGGCCGTAGCGAAGCCCTGTTTCCTGGTGCTGAGCAGGGGATACTGACCCTGCTTGTCGAAAGCGTCCGAATTGGGTCCAATCTGTTCGACGGTCGTGGCATCCAAGACGATGCCCGCTTTATCCTCATACACATCCCTCAACCGCTTGATCTCTCCTTCGTCCGTTGCAACGCTGAGGGCTTTGGAAAGTCGGTATCGTTGGGGCAGCATGTCCGTCATGGGTCGCGTAGCTCTCCACCTCTGCCTAGCCAACGCTCCCTCTGCCGAGATTCTCTTCAGAATCCTAGCGTTCTCAAACCTCGACTCCGTCTCCGCCAATGTGTTCTCCCTAATAGCGTCCGTCATTTCCGGAAACAAAAACGGCTCCACCAAACCCACCTCGACCTTTTTGAAGCTGCGATGCCCTTGATTCTGCACCCATCGGCCGCCGGCTCGCAGGTCGCGGGATCTAGCGTTGCGGTAGATCAGCGATCGGTACCACGTGGCGTGTAGACCGTACAGGGCGCGCAGATAGTTCAACACCTCGTGCTTGGACATGCGCAGCGGGACCCTGAAAGTAGCCTTCCACGGATCCGCAGGCCTGAGCTGGTCCCCATTCCTGTACTTTTCCCCCGTAGCATTTCGAACCAGGGCGATGCGATAGGTGGGCAAGTAGGTCGGAACACCGGCGATCTGTGGAGTGGCGTACCATCGAGGCCCGGTCGCGCCCAGCAACACGTGATCCGACGTGTTGTTGATGTAGATTCGACTCCTATCCCTCATGGCCCAGGCAGCCTTCTCCTCCGCACGTTGCTGATCGGGTCTCATGTGCGTCCAAATGTCCCAAAGATCCGCATGATTGAGCTTCTGAAGCTCTTCCCTGGCTTCGTGACGCTTGGCCATATCGGTAGTGTGGCCAGTGCGAAATACGAGATCGTGACGGACCTTTGCGCGTTCGGACGTGGCGTTGGGATGATGTACAGGAAGTGGCTGAGCAGCTGTATACCCTTTTCTCCAACCGAGCCTCAAGATGCACTGGAAGCGCAACCTCTGCATCTCGTCTTGCCGCTTTTCCTCCGACAGCTTTTCCCACTCGTCCTTGAGCACCACATCCAAAGCGCTTTCCGTATCCTTTTCCGCCAACGCTTCGTACTTGGACTTGAGACTGGTGAAGAGCATCAAGCGACCTTTCAACGTCTTGCTTGCCTCTTCGAACGCTTCGAAACGCTGCACCAAGTCTCGCGAAGAATCTTGCACTTCCGCTTGGCTCATGCGCAACATTGTGTCCCTCTCCAGCTCCGCCTTGCGCACCTTGTCTCGATACTCGCTCAGCCTCTCTTCGTTCTTCTTGAAGCGCTGCTGAATCAGCTCTCGACATCGTGCAGGAGGATCTTGATGATCGATTATGCTCTGCGGTACCCATAGACGCGAACGAGCAGCTCGATAACCCCTTGCAACTTCAAAAGTATCTCTGAGCCACTGGAGCACTCTGGCATCATTCTCCAGCTGCTCCTTCGTCTCTGTGAGACCTTTTCTCTTGTGCGCATCTGCTCGAAGGTACTCCCAGAGCTGAGTGCGCCTCTCATCGCCCAGTTCCATCCAGTCCCATCTCAAGAGCAGAGCAGCTTGCGTCTGCAAAGGTAGTTGGCCATCCTCCGCCTTGACCACCGTAGGTCTATGCTCCTTGGCCAACAGTTGGGTAGCTTCGTACGCTTGTGGACGCAAGCCGGTGTAGGATACCGCAGTACGGTTGCGTTGGGTCTTCCAATGTGGCTTCTGAGCTTTGGGCGCAATCTCGAATTCGCCGCTTGGAGTTGCGCTGTGCGTTTCGGGCGAGGCGCTGGCGGGCGGTGTGCTCGATACTTGGCGCGTTGCTGCTGTTCGCAGGGAGGAGATCGGCAGCACGGAAGCGCGCTTGACGCTCCGCAGAGCGACAGCAGTGGTGCGAGCAGAGCTGACCATCGTGTGATGTGAGCGTGTGATTGGTGAGGAGGAGCAGAGAAGGGGCGAAGGGTGCGTGCCGCTTATGGTGTCCCATCCTCCGTGCTTGCTTATTACAGTCCTTCCCTTCAGCGTGTCTGCACGTAAGCCTCGCGGGGTCTGTCTTTTGCACGCGCGGTTGCTTGTTGAAGAACCCCCGTCACGCTCTCTCTCTCTCTCTCTCTCTCTCTCTCTCTCTCGGCCGATAGACTTTCGGGGGGTCATACTGGTCCGCGCTTGCACGTGGCCTGGCCCCTTCGCGCGCATAGCCAGCCAGCCAGCCAGCCATCAGCCATGCAGCACAGTCAGTGTGAGTGCAGCATGGGTCGAGTTGTGAGTCTCATGTGCTGGGAAGCAGTCGTCGCCCCGCCGCCGCCCCGGTTCTCTCCCGCGATGAGCGGAACGGCGCGCGTTGCTGCTGTTCGATCAGATCGCACAAGCCAGTGCTTGAGTGGTGAGTGGTGAGTGAATGGCGAGTCGCGGCGCCAAGGGAAAGCAAGGCGGGCGGGCGGCACACCAAGCTGAAGCACGCTTCGTATCCTTCTTACACGCACCTCACTCACACTCATCATCACGCTTTCCGTGCGACTTTCCAAATCAGCATCACGAGAATAACAACAGTCACTCCATCTCTTCCCAAACTCCAACTCTCCACCAAAAAGCCCCACTATTGCACAGCATGTCTTCCGCTGCTCCCTGGCGCGCTTTCTTCGGGTGAGTTTTCTATTTCCATTCGTCCTTTTCTGCTCTCGCGCTCGTGCTGGTCTTTGCCCTGCTCTCTGCTCCACGTCCGAACACACCAGAGACCGGATCAGGGCAGATCAGGCAGGCAGTCAGCCAGCCAGTCAGGCGGCAGCTTCTTCGCGTGTTCTCATCTCTACAGGTGCTGACTCTCTCTCTCTCTCTCTCTCTGTCCTTTCCCATTCGCCGCAAACGCAACGGTTGTCATTTGCAAGGTACAACAAGTACACGCAAATTGCTGGACAAGCTACTCGAGCTGCGCTCAAGGAAGCCGAAAGGGTAGAGGCTGATCGTAGAGGTGTTCTCAGTCTACGTTTTCAAGAGTGGAAGGATGGTCAGTCCGGTGAACACGTGAGTGGTCTCGTCTGCCTTTTAGCCGCTCGAAATTGCATTCCGCGTTCGCAAGAGATGAAGCAGAAGTAAAGAATGGAAGGAGCGCGGGGATAATGGGTGCAGGTATTGTTGGCGCCTGCGAGTAGAGCGGGACGGGTCTCGGCGGTAAGGGCAACGACGAGTGGCCTTTGGCCCCCTACCCCTACTCAGCTGATCGGTCAGGCCCGCACTGGACGTCGCCCTGCAATACCCCAGACGGAGACGGGTGAAGCGAATGAGTAGACGGCAAAGCCTGGAAGCGCGAATCGGCCTTCAACGGTAGCCTTTTGGGCTACGTGATGCTGTTTCGAGCATCCAATGGCTCGTGTACGCGTTGGGCGTGGGGCGCAAAGGCGCCCGAGATTCGCCAAGACCTGCAAAACGTATCACATGCCAAACGATCGCTCGCGCACAAAGCTGACAGTCGCCCGTCTCTCTCTCTCTCTCTCTCTCTCTCTCTCTCTCTCTCTCTCTCGTGCGCGCGCTTCTTCCTCAAATACAGATCGTTATGGCCAAGCAACAGCAGAACAAGTCTGCCTAAAGGATCTCGTCGCTCTTCGTGTTGGACATGTGGTCGATAAAGATGAGGGAGGCGGACATTCCAAATCCTCACAAATTCGATGTCGACCAAGGCTTGCTCGTCATCGACAACGCTGGCCGGCGCGTTGGCCAGCACAATCGACTTGAAGCGCATAGTCAAGTTCCGAAGCTGTTCTTCAAATACTAGATCTGAACGAGCAATCGAAAGACTTGATTGATTACCCCTTTTGCTTGCTTTTGGTGGGCTTTGTGCGAGAGGATTGCAGACATCTTCAGACAAGCGGGCTTGCATGCGCGGTTCGTCTGGGGATGGGGAAACAGCGCATCAGCCGCGCGCGAGTCTGCAAAGGGTTGAGAAAGAGGCGCAATGGAAGTGACCAAACAGCTTCATCATCGCTCGCGCACGCTTCAAGGGGGGAGATACAGGACGCGTGTCAAGAGTCTTGGTGAGGGGGCAAGTTTAGCACCTCTTTCGGTGTGCTTTGCACGACGAGCTAGGAGCGTATCCGATTTCGCAAGGCGCGCGCGCGCGCGGACGAGGTAGGAGATTGCGCAAGGAAAGCGATGATGGTGCAGGAGAAAATGTCCCAGACGAGGACGAGTGTGGTAGCAGTCAGAGTTGGGAGGGTGGGGGGGGGGAAGCTGCTTCACTTGACGGCAATGGCGATGTAAAGAGATCCTGCGTAGCCAGAGGAAGCAAAGTGTTTTGTGGCTTGCTCAAAGAAGCTGTCCCAAGCTTGAGCAGTGGACATGCCGGCGATGGGATCCGTCTGAGCGTAGTGCAAGACGGCCTGCTTGAGCGCTTGCACCACCATCAGGTAGTTCTGCGAAGATTTGAGCAAAACGTCTCGATGCAGCGATGCTTCGAAACCTGATGGGCTGGCAAAAGGCCAAGGATGAGTAAAGGTGTTTACCTTTTCCTCGAGGAAACCGTTGCTGGTGACATGATCGAGCATGTTCAGACAGATGCCCGTCGGGTCCTTGTCCGTCCTTGACCATAGCCCCTCGCAAATCTCCTTCATGGTGCGCTCCACGCTGTTGGTGGGTGGGTTGGGAAGCGGATCCAACTCGACCAATTGCAATGTACCTCCTTCCCTCAACAACCGTCGCAGATTGCGAATGGCTTGAGCGTACTGCACCGTGTTCATCGCTAGCAGCACGAAGCGCATCTGCACCAAATCGTACTGATTGTGCATGTGCGCAGGAAATTCCTGCAAGACATTGTGCTGGATGTAGGTGATTTGCAGGTCTTTGCTGGTCTGATGCGTGGTCACCTTGCTCAAGTCTATATCGCAACCTTGCAACTCTACATCCGCCCGCAATTTCTGTCCATCTTGACCCTCTTTCCATAGCCTTTCCAGCCAAATTCCTGTACCTGTCGCCACATCTAGAACCCTGTGCACCCGACTCAGATCGAATGGGGCCGTGTGGATGTACTCTCGCCCGGGAAATAGAGCCGTAAAGATCTTTTGCTGAAGATTCAGCCTGTCGAGTCGGATGAGGGAGATGCGTGATTTTGAAGACGGTCGTCAGGTGCAAGGAAGTGAGAAAGGGGGGGGGGGGGGGGGGAGGGGGGGGGTTTGGAGTTGATCACGGTGGTGAGTGACGCTACATGCGCTCGAAGCTCGACTTGGGACTTGGTGATGAGCTGGAGAGGGAGCAATGATGATCATCGACGAAGACTCACCGTTCAGCCTCGGTGGGAGCACCCGCAAGAAGGTACTCGAGGTGCTTGTCATCATTCTGATTCGTGCTCGACGTCGACATGGTGAGGGGATCTGATCTGCGTGAAGCTGCGGTGACCGTATACGTCTCGGAGGCTGCTTGATGAATGTGTCGAGAGATTGGTCAAGTGTGAGAGGTGCGTAAGAGGAAGGAGATGGAAGAGGTCAAAGGCGGGCCTCTCTCCCCGGTGTCAAGCAGCATTCCTTGAGTGCATCTTTGGACAAGGCGAGTCGCGGCACGGCAAGGTGAGCAACACCGTTGATGGCATGGCATGCCTGTTCCGTCCCAATCACGATTCACCCGCGGCACGGGGCCTTCGTGACAGCTGATATAGTTGGATCACGAATTGAGGTCCAACTCGTAAATGACCCACGCAAAATCCACACTCCTCACTCACGACTCCGTTCACATTCAAATTCTTGAGCATCGTCACTGAACTTGAGAGGACCGCATGACCGCATGACACCAAAGTTCCCAGCACTCGTTTACAGTCAAAAGTACCTCATGACTGGGCGCCGCGTTGCAAGAGAGGCGCCTGCATATATGCTCCTCGGCGTGACCCCCCCGCCGCAACTTCCCTTGACGTTGTTCGCGCGACGCATGACCCGAGCCTGAGTATCGCATCCGTAAAGATTTCAAATGTCATGCCGATCTGGAGCACAGCTGCACAGCACTTGAGGAAGGGGGGCCTACGATTACCTGTATAGTGTGAGTCGCATTAGACAAAGGCATTAGACGGACGGAGAAGAAAAGAGAGAACAAAGGGGGTGGGCGTGCGTGCCTGCACTTGCGTCTTCTGACGCTCGAGCTGCTGGGCTTTTTGGTCACATTCAACATTCGCACATGCGCGCGATCAGGACAATGTCGTTAAAACAAATCTCATTTATCATCTTGCCGAGTCCCGTTCGAGTGTCGAAAAGCTCGCACATGCGAGACGAGACGAGACGAGACGAGACGTGACGTGACGTGACGTGGGAGCCGCACTAACGTCAGCATTTAGTCCCTCTCCGCAAGCCTATCCAGCACAGCTCCAACCTCCTCCTCCGTCAATTTTCTAAAGCGCCTCTGCGCTTGAGCCTCCTTGCTCTCATCGTTCAAATCTGCTGCCTTTTCGCCCCCCACGATGGCCACTTCCAGTTCTTCCGCCTTGAGGTCCTGAGAGAGGACCGTAGCCAGGGTGGAAACGGCCAGCTCGATGACTTCTTGAGATCCCATGCGTCTAGAAATCGCTTCGGCTTCGGCTGCTGCTGCATCTGCGCTGTGCTCCGCTCCTGCAGAAGCTGCTGCTCCCTCGGCAGCTCCGGCAGATGCCGTCGTGCTAGACGTCTTTTTGAATTGCTTCTCCAAATAATTGATCGCTTCGGTTTGCCTAAAGGATTGGCAAGATATCGAGGCAGTCAACACGACATTCCGGGGTTGGCGGTAACAAGCGAGCGCTCGAAGCATAAAGTCGCGACGCGGTACGCACGCCCCTAGCCGTCCCCCTTTGGCATACTCACTTGGCACCAGCGGCCGTAGCTCTGAATCCTACATAATACCCAGCAGGATCAATCTTGAAGACTTGCGGTTCTCCAAAATCCAGACCGATAATGATCATGGAGATGCCCAAAGGTCTCATAGCAGCTCTTTGCGTATAGACTTGATTGATGTTGGCGATCCGTTTGGCAAGCAGGTCAGGTGTGATATCATAGCCATGCTTGTACTTGAATTCGGCAGCTTCCGAGCGAGCTCGCTGCACTTGGGAGCGTGCGTCGGCTGAGAGGAGATGGGGAGAAGGAGGGGTAAGGGAGCATGAAGGATGAGAGAGGCAAGTTCAGCAAGTCCGACCTCGTCATGCTTCTCTGTCTTTTTACACTCACCGATTCGCCCAGTCACGATGCATCCGATCTCTTGCGTGATCTTGAAGATGTGCGTCACGCTCGATGGCTCCAGCAGTTTGTCCTGATGGTAAAGGGGGAGAAGGGGTTATGAGCAAAGAGTCACGAGGCTGCCTCCTAGAAAAAAAAAAAGCCAGTCCAGCGCAGATGTTCAAGACATGCCACCTCTTTTCCATCGGGTAGAACCCTGGTGTGCCCTGTTGCTCTGCAAGATCGACTGAATGCTGTGCGCTCGCTGTCTACGTCCACTCACAGGAATCTTTTTCTGCGTGCAGACTACAGCTGTGTCCTTGCCCCTGACAGAGATGGAGGTGAAGCCGGCAGCAGCGATAGCTTTGAACGCATACTCTACCTGGTACAGCCTCCCGTCGGGGGAAAAGACGGTGAGGTATCTGTCGTAGCTACTGCGAGACATTCTTGCAAGGGCCCCCAAAGAGTCGGGCGCGTCTGATGTGTATGATCTCTGTGGTCCGGGTCAGGATGGGGGGCGTTGTTTGGAAGGCGAATGTGCGGGGTGATGGGACGCTCGACGCTCTGACTTGACTGTTACGCAGTCGAGACTCGAGACTGACTGACAACTTTCGAGTTTCGGGCTTCGTCATGTATGTACACGCGCCCTTTGCACACAGCAAGCATCCAGCTTAGCTAGGATGGTCGGTGCGTCGATGGAAGCGTACGCACGCGCGGCCACAGCGAGCGAAAGCATCACGTGATGCATGCAGCATCGATTCACTCGAGACGGTGACTCAAGACTCGCTTGCTTGCTTGCTGCCTGCTTGGCTTGGGTTGGCGCGCGCGTCAAGGCGCGTCAATCTACGCGGGTGCGGGTGCGGGTGCGTGCGCGTGATGCCTTGCCCTCTGGACACGCGCCTTTCGTGACATCGACATCCAACACCTCACCGCATCGCGCCGCACCGCACCTCACCGCATCGCACCTCATCTTGGCAGCTCGCAACTCACGCTTCACCCTCGTCTCCCCACACTCGGTCACTTTGCCCATTCTTGACACCCCATGCAGACAGTTCGGATCGACCCTGAGCCCTGAGCCCTGCCTGCTTCGCTTCAAGCTTGCATCGCACTAGACCAGCATCGCGTGCCCCCTTGACCCAAAGCCGTGCTCAATCTCGACGCGACCGAGCAGAATCATACCTCTTAATCCGAGGCCTGTTCGCTACCGGCTTCGGCTTTTCAAGAGAAATTTTTGCGCACTCGCATTCATCGCTGCTACAAATTCAGTCAAGTCTGGCCTCCTCTCGTCTCTCAAGACACAACAAGCGGGAATTCTCAACGAAATTTGGCGGTACGGCGGTTCGCCTACGGGCGGGGAAGACTGCGCGAAGCTTCTTTACGCAAAGTTTGCGGTGAGGAGCATCTTTAGACCGACAAACACTGCAAAAGCACACGCGGGCGAGGGAGAATAATGTTTGGAGACGAGGCGATCAAGCTGATCAAGGAGGCTGAAGCGAGTCAGGCCACGGGATTGTTGAGACCTTACAAGTGAGTATGAATCGCGGGGGGGTTGGGAATGTGGGATGTGGTGTCGCGACACCATAGAACATGAAGCTTGGGCGCCAAGGTTGCTCCTCCCACGAAGGCTGGGCTGCTAGCGTGGCTGTGGGTTTGCAACTCTGGGACTTTTGTACTGCCCTCCCGATGAGCCTCTCGTCGACTGCAAGTTGCGATGCGGACATCGCCAAAGCGCCGAGGAGAGAGCTGAAGGCAACCTTTCTCCTTGCCCCCTCTCCCCCCACCCCACCCTCTCCCCATTCTCTCTCGACACGCAGCGTCGAGACGGTGCGAGCGGTGCTACTGGAAACGCGTCAATTGCAAGCGCACAACGATCAGCTCATCGCCAGCTATCCGGGTGGAAAGGCAGCGGGAGAAGCAGCAGCAGAGGTGGACGCGTCGTTGGGTGCTCAGCTGCTGACGCATCATCTGAGCGCCTTGCGAAACAAGCGGTGCTTGTTAGCCTACCACAATCATCGCATGGATTTCTTGCGCAGAGCGCTGTGGGATAAAGCTGGAAGCGCTCAGTTGTTGCTGGAAGAAGGCAGGGGAAGCGAATTGGGAGCGCTAAAGAGCAGATTGAGCGCGGAGGAGGTTAGGGGTGTTAGAGCTTATGCGGAACTGCTTAGGGCTTACAAGGAACAATTTCTGGACGTCGTCGATCTGACCGCTCCTCTGCATCGATCTGGACATGGTGCGGGTGAGGGTGCGGGTGAGGGTGAGGGTGCGGGGGGAAGTGCGGGTGGGAGGATGATGATGATGGGGAGGGATGTTGGACCGCCGTTGGAATTGATGGTCACCATCGTGGCTAGGAGGGATGCGAGGGATGTGATGACGGAGAGGGGAACGATCAGTTTGAGGATGGGAGAGAGGTTCAGAGTGGCTAGGAGCGAGGTGGAGGGATTGATAGTCAGGGGTTGGGTCAGCGTGGTGGATGAGTAGAGGTAAGGGAAAGGGAAGGGTGGGGGCGAGAATTGGCAGGAATTTCCGTTTTGACCAATACGCCATCCGCTATTGATTAGGAAATGAAATGGCAAATGTTGTGTAGCGTATCGCGAACAAACCTGCCGAAGGGTAGAGGGTCTGGCAGAGGCTGGCAAGCGGGCGGGTGGACAGGCAGGCAAGGCAAGGAGGCATGTCGTGTGTGCGAGCGAGCGAGTGAGTGAGTGTGTGTGCGCGCACAAGTTGAGCCTTGCTGCACAGCCACACGTTTGCATGGACGTGATGAGCGCGGAGGGGCGGGCGGACGGGCTTGACGCGCAAGCACAAGCGATCGAAGCCGTACGTACAACGCAATCACGAATAAGCTATACATTCTGATTGTCGCAGCAAGCGCTCGCACGGGCCTTTTTGGCCTATACACACACGCGATGGCTGAGGTGAGTGGGTCAGTCGTGAGTCGAGTCAGAGTGTGCATGGTGATGGTTGGTGAGCGGGCTTTGTTGCGTGGGCGGGGGGAAAGGGGGGGGGGGGCAAAATTATCTGGAGCGCTCTCCCAACAGCATCCATCACCTCCCTCGCCGCGTGATGTGATGATCCACTGGACTGATCATTACGCACGCAACAGACTGGTGCCCCCACCTAATCTCGTGCACGCACGCACGCACGCACGCACGCACGCACTCGCGCACTCACGACTCTTTCAATCGAGCCGTTCTGAATCGCATCGCATCGCATCGCATCGCATCGCATCCCATACCCACGGCCAACCGAATACCATCACATCACACACAAACACTCGCCTTACCCCGTACCCCGTATCCGCACCCGGTTATTTGTTTACCGGCAAAGCCATGTCGCAGGCAAGCGAGAGCCGAGCCAAGTGTCGTTGCTGCCGCGAGACGGTGGTGGTGCCTGTGCGTGCGCAACCTTCGCCCGCCGCTTCGGTGCTGCTGCTGGACGCGTACAAGCAGGCCTTGAGCGAGCGGATGCGCGTCCAAGCGACAGCAGCAGCAGCAGCAGCAGCAGCAGCGGGGGCGGGAGCGCAAGATGCTGCTGCTGTTCTGACCCCTCCACCACCCTCAACCTCATCTCGCATCTCACCCGCTGCTCAACAGCTCGAGCATTCGTTCGCACACTCGCGCGCAAGCCAAGGAGAAGGAGAAGACTTTCCAAGAGAGTGGCGCAACTTGAATTGTCAAGAAGCGTACGAGGATTGGTTGGGCGCTCGAAGGGAGAGAGCAGCGGAAGATTGGACGAGGTACAAGGAGGAAGAGTTGGGTGGACATTTGCTTTTGAATTGCAGCAGCAGCAGCAGCGCGGCATTGGGAGCAGGTCGATCTGCTGGTTGGGAGGAGCACGTAGAAAGAGAGAGGAGAAGAGGGTATTGGAGAGCGAAAGATATTCTACGTGGGATTGCCTTTACAAGAAGAATAGAAGCGGAGGGGGATCGTATGCGCTTGCGCTTGCAATCGAAGGGAACGTAGCTTCAGCCCGTCTTGAAGCCGCGTCTACGTACAGAAGAAGTAACGCGATAAGGTGTCTCACTGCTTCCGGATCGGAGCTCAAGCGCAAGAGGCAGAGGTGCAATAACGCAAGATGGCTCGACTCACTTTGGATGTCGTCGTGAGGATTTTGAGGTGGACCGCGCTCAGTGAGTGTGTACTGGAGCAATCCAGCGGTCGGGGATGCGCGGCCATTTCCGCCCGAACCTTCAAAAGCTCGTCGAACGAAGGCGACTCAACGCATCAACCCCGCTTCAACACTGCCAGATGCAGAGCTGGGCCTATCCTACCTCGCTGTACGCTCAGGTCTGTTCGGCAGTCGACCTGCACGACTCGACCTCGCACAATCTCTACGAGTGCATCCAGCGCTGCATCGTTGTCTACTCATCACGAGCCTTTTGTCCATCTTGCTAAGCTTAAACAACTGGGCCACGGTGAGGTGGAGAAATGGCACTTGGTCGGTAAAGAGACTGACGCGCAAAGAGTGGGCGCAACAAATCGTCGTGGTTACGGGCGGATCGAGCGGAATGGGAAAGAGCATCGTGGATTGTATGATCAGGGTGAGCGCAAGATGGCAAAGATGGTGCTGTTCCTCGTGGCGAGAGCGGCAAGAAGCGTACTGATGTGCGCACGATTGACGTGATTTATGTTCGGGGGGGGAGCGTAGAAAGGCGCAAAAGTCGTCTCGTTGGATATTTTGCCCGCAAAAGACGAAGCAGGCATAACGAACTACATTTGCGATATTTCTGAGCGCGTCGAGGTGGAAAAGGTCGCAGCGCAGATCAGGCAAGAGGTGAGTGCAGCAGACTGAGGGGCGGTCAATGGACTTTTGGCGTGTGCCGAGTGGCAGGCAGACCGATTAGTCATCTTTTAGGGTGGAGAAGGGGGGGGGCCGCATTTTGTTCATTCTTTTTGCTCATGCCTTCTCTCCCCCAACCCCGCCAGATCGGACATCCAACCGTTCTGATCAACAATGCTGGTATCCAGAACAATCGTCTATTGATCGATCTAGACGATCAAGAGATTGATCGGTGCGTCCGGTGCTGCTGCTTTCATCCTTCTGGCCCCGCTGCGCTTTGCTTCGAGGCCTCGAATCGTTCTCGAAAGCATCGCGGCCTCATTTCCCGCCCCCATCGACACTCACACGAGCGTTTTGCCTGCTGCTGCTAACTTTTCCCCTTTCCCCTTTTTCCCTTTTCCCCTTTCCCCCTTTAGTATGCTCAATATCAATCTCAAGTCTCATTTCTATACCATTCAGGCTTTCTTGCCGGACATGATTCGGCGCGGAAAGGGCCATGTGGTCCTCACGAGCAGCGTGATGGGCTACGTCGGTGTTTCGCAAATGAGTGAGTGTTGTGTGCTAGTCTCGACTTGGCCGAGAAGGGCGACGCTTTTGCCTTTATCACGACGATTGACTCGACGGTCACCGATTGACGGCCTTTAGGCGACTATGTGGCAACGAAACATGCCCTGGTGGGCCTGTTGGAATCGCTGCGGTACGAGCTTGACAAAAAGTGCGTCCAAATTTTGTCCCGATTGTTCCTTGTTTTTTTGTCCTTGCTCAGCTCGTGGAGCACGCCTCTCCTTTCCCTCTTCTCCCTAACCATCCCCACTTCCCATTCCCCAACTTTCTGACTTCTGCCCAGACATCGCGTGCCCAAGGTCCGAACGAGCCTAGTGATTCTAGGACACGTACGAACGGCCCTCTTCTCCGGTGCCCAATTTGGTCCCTTGGCTTCCTTTTTAGCGCCTACCGTCGAGGCTGAGCAAGTAGCGCAGGAGATCACAGCAGCTGTGGAGCGCCAAGAGAGCACGCACATCGCTTTGCCATTTTATGCCAATTTGGTGCCTTGGTTGAAGGTGGTGCCTACCTTTTTGAGGGATTTGGCGCAATGGGTGAGTAGGCGCCGGACCGGGGCTTTTGCCCGGACGCTGGACCAGAACTTGAGAGAAATGCACTCTGATTCCTTGGTTGTCTCCTCTGCCTTTCTCGATCATAGATGGGAGACGCGGACGATAGTATGCCCCCGCCTACTCCGAATGCGCGTGCGCGTGCGCGTGCGCGAAGCAAAGGAGAATGAGATGCACGAGACGTCCCGATCCTGCTTGTGCCGGTCCGATGCAGAGCAAGCTCATGGTGGTTGTAGGCGAGGCTCGAGCCGCAAGACGAGCAGCAATTGCTCCAAAATGCGAAGAAATGTAGAGCAATTTGCCAATTCCGAGAGCGAATCCTTTTTGTGAGAGGGTGCGTGATCGTCGCCCTTTGTTGGACTCTGCAGCGGTGGAGCCAAAAAGGGTCCGAAAGCTTCGTGTAGCGTGTCGAGCTGCGATCGTTCGTCGGGACCTAGAAGAGCCATGCGCGCCATGGCTACGGTGCATTGCGCCGAGGTGAAACGGGACCAAAGTCGATCAGCCAAGCTCCCTGCCTCTGCTCCATCACACGAGCACAAGGATGCGGCTCACTCGGAATCGACCCTGCAAGTCTGACGACCAATCGCTCGTATTCTTCTCTTTGCTTTGCTTCGTCCGGCGCAGGCGCAGGCGGAGCGGGCGGACCTGACTTGCCGTCTGGAAACATAGCTTCTCGCAGTGAAGTCACAATCTTCGCTAATTGCTCAGGATCCAAAGCTGACGAGACCGCTCTCGAAAGCTTGTCCTCAATCGCGTCCGAGAGACCAAGATCGAGGAGCAGGTGAAGCAAGGTCATGGAGAGACGAGAACAGATGCGGCTGGAAGTGTCGAGCAGCGTTTCAAAGAGGTCCACCCATGCCGCAATGCTGCAGCTTTTAGCAGATCGATTGCCTCTTTTTTGAGCGCTTCCACCGATTCCTGCTGAGCTGACAAGAGGTGACCGGTTCCGGCTGGGCGCACGGTCATGGTTGCAATCTAAAGAGGTCCGAGCAGATGCCGCCTTTTTGCCACCTTGACGCGCTGCTACTGATTTCGTGCGCGCACCGTGTGCGTAGGGGGGAGCGATGAAGGAGACGTCAAATAGATCAAAGTATGCTCTGAGTACTGCGAGGACCATCGAGCTCAGCAGGGAGACGAGCAGGGAAGAGCAGACGCGTAGATGAGCCGCCAGGGATTGCCAGAGGGCAAGTTCATCCTGCGAAGGGGCGGCGTCGACGCGGACAGGCATACCAAGTCAGCATACTCGGCCTCGAGTCGCAAGGCGTAAGTCGTTGAATTCCGAACGACATCACAAGCTACGATGAGCTGAATATTCCCTCGTCGCTCACCGGATTGTGCTGCGTTGGAGCGCTCGTATGCTTGTCCCGACTGTCCAGCCATTTGTGAAAAGACTGGACCAAGGACCATGGTTGAATGGTCCTTTGCAGGATAGCCCCGCTCAGCACGCCCATAAGCAGGTCAATAAGCAAGTATCGCTCGCAATCGCTCTGGAAATGTTCTGTAGGAAGCACAGCGTCGAGAAAGTGCTCCAATAGTACGGCCAAGTAGGTCGAATCGACGTGGACTTGGAGACACGATCCGTTCGGACTGCTCGTGGAGAGGGCCACGTGCGGATACTTTTCGAGAAAAGTCCGAGCCAGGACTGATGCTTGTCCAACCTTTTGCACTTCTCGCCGCGCAAAGCGGGTGTTTGCAATGTGCTCTTTGAGCATGTGAGGTAGATGTTGCGTCCCTAATTGCCTCAGAGCTTGCTTGTTGGCATCTTGAGAGAAGACTTTTGCGAGATGGCAGAGTATGGAGCGAGTAGAGAGTGCCACGAGCGAGAAGAGTTCTCTGTCGGGCGTCAATTTGCTATACCAAGGCAATACGGTGAGGCGCAATGCGTGAGTCAATAGCAGGGCCAGCTCGTGATCCAATGCTCTTTCTGCCTCTGTGAGAGTGCGGCTCGTGATGGGCAAGATGATGGGGCAAGCGACTTGCTGCTGATTGCTGAAGAGCACCCGCTTGATCAATGCTCGTTCTGCCGCCGTTTGACCCATGCTGTGCTGATCGAAAAAGTCGCTGTTAGAAGCGCCGCCCCGTTTCTTGACGCTCATGGGCCATGTCGAAGCGACGTCTTGCTGTCGAGCATTAAGTACAGATTGATTGCATGCGCGCAGTAAACTCGATCCCATCCAGCTCCATCGGCTTGCAAGGCGCCAGCGTGTCCCCCGCCAACTTGTCAGGCTGCGTCAGGAGGATTTGTCACGAGACGACTTGGGCGAGCAATCAGGCTGACGAGTCTGGTCGATGGTGTCAAGAGGAAGAAGGATTTGATTGCGAGTCAGCACTCGTGACTGACAACCGCAAAGTTCGGAACGAGCAACACCTGCGTAGGCCTTACTTATCAATTGAATTACCGCGCGTACGTCTGACGTGTGTATTCACGATTCTTGATTGGAATTCAAGATTTCATCCTTAGCCAGAAGAGTCATTTAAATTCTGATTCAAATCAAAGATTTACAATTCTTACTGGGGCATCGGGCTTTGTTATTAAAAATTCGATTGTATTGGTTCATCCTCAATTTGAGTGGCGGGGATGCGTTGCATTCATGTTGCAAAATTAAGTGCGGCAAACCAGTCGAACGAGTCAAGAAGAGTCTAAGCACATGCAGCATTCACTATTCTTGATTCGTAATTCGCGACACTGCATGGCCACCTTCCTCGCTCTGACTCAGCTGCTACCCGGACCACATTCTTGATTCTTGGTTGACGCCTATGGAAGCCGCTTGACGGATGACGCACGACTCAATGACAATCGGAATGTGATGCTTCTCACTGCACCCTTTTGTGGTCAATTCGAAATACCCTACGACGAGCCCTGGGTGCTTGCTCAACAAGGTGAACAAAGCAATCTTGTCCTCGTCTTCGTGCCTGCCTGTGGTTCGGAACACTTGCCAGCGCGTGAAACAACAAGACACTACGCACGCATTCCGCTGCGGCTTCAACGATGAAGCCTCATCGCTTCGTGAAACAGCCAAGAACATACAGTCAAGAGTGTGAGTAGAGTCCCCAAAGCAAGGTCCAGAACGGGGTCGAGAAAATGGGATCGGGGCTTGCATGCCACTTGATTACGTGCGTGTGTTGTATATGCCGCTGCCAAGCTGCTGCAAAGGGCAGCTAGCGCGATTGCTGAGCTGACCTTCAAATCAAACGCATCAATCAGACATCAGACTCCGGGCCGTCGCACGGTTCGCTTAGACTAAGCCTATGCCGAACCACGGTTTCGTCGTTACCTAGCGCTGCTTGCTCCCTTGAGAACATCTGGAATGCGAACGTGAATGGTGAATGAATGCCCTAGCGCGCATGCAGCATGCGAGCCTCGGGACATATGGTCCCGTATCCTCCCCCGCAATTTCCGTCCCACTCATCTCCCGCCGGCTTGCAGGGGTACCGTAAACGCTCTCATCGCCTAGACCGGCGAGGCTCGCAACAAAGGTCGAGAAAGCCGCTTGTCGCTCTCGCGCCCACGGGCATCCCGTCCAGTCCTGAGTCGGGTTGGTATATATATACAGCGCGCACATCCATGCAATAGCTGCGCTCCCAATCCTTCACTCAAAACACACAAGTGCTCACCTGACCTCGTGCGCACCAAGCGTAAGTCGTCCTGTTCGATCCTCCACAAGCTCGCAGCTTGCGTGCGAACAAACAGAACGCACAAAAGAACACGCTTTGCTTTGCACCTCGCTTCGCTCGTACGCCGAGAACAGCACTTTTGCATCATGACCAAGACGAGCAAGAAAGCACTCGACATCATCATTGTGGGCGCGGGGTTGGGCGGGCTCACAGCTGCTGCGTACCTCAAAAAAGCGGGACATCGCGTGACGGTGAGAGCGAGGTCTGCAATCTTTGCGCTTTGTGCGAACAAGGGAAATGGGCTGCACGACTGACGAATTTTCGGAATTGCACGGGTACAATCCATCTTACGGGGAGATGCGTTTGCAGGTCCTAGAAAGGAGCGCGAGCTCGCTCGGTCAGTCTGAACCGACGGCAGATTTCGGTCTGTCCATCGTAGCGAATGCGGTGCACCTCTTGTTTGCCCTGGGCGTATCCGAACCTAATTTGAATGGCGTGGAATTCACACAGATGTGGGACCTGACGCCCGACAATCAACTCACGGCTAGCGTGCCTTTCAATACGAGGAAAATGTTTGGCGCTCCTACGCTGCTGATTCGTCGATCTCGTCTGGAAAAGGAGTTGCTCAGGATTGTCGATTCGGACGAAGGGTCGACGGAAGATCGGACGGGCGGACAGGGAACGGTGGACCTGGTGTGGAATGCAAAGGTGGAGAGTGTCGATGTGGACGATGGAACAGTCGTACTGCGCGATGGGACGAGCAGATCTGCGGACCTCATCATCGGCGCGGACGGCGTCAACTCTGTGGTCCGCAAAGCCATTCTTGGTGAAGGCGCTCAACCGCAGTTGCACGGTTAGTCAGCGCTGTTAGCCAGCGCTGGTGGAACATGTCTCGGCGATGCCTGGTTGGCTGGCTGACTGGCTGGCGTCTACTCCATCGAAACGGTAAAGGTCTGCTCGCCTACGTGGCACATGTATCTACCGCACACTTGGCCTCACTACCTCAGACGCGATTTGCAGTAGAGGATGCCGGGAAAAGAGGACTTGCCTTTTGGATGAGCAATCCTTCGGCGCCAGTGAGGTAGATCGGCAGCAGGCGATGAAGAGGTGCAGCGTAGCTTACTCGCTTCTATCCTTGCTCTCGCACCAATCCCCCCAACCCCACCCCGCTCTCTCGCTGCAGTACCGCGTGGTCTTGTACCCTTACTCTCCAGAAGCCTTCAACATCATCTGTATTCTTCCAGACGAGCGTTGGGCGTCCACTTTCGCCGCTTCCAAACGAGCAAGCCTTTCAGACGTACCCGCAAAGATCCTCAAGGAGGAACTGGAAAAGCAAGGTTTCGCAGAGGAGATTGTGCAGCTCGCCACGGAGCACGGGAGTTCCATCTGTGCTTGGAGGTTGAGGACGCTGCGACAGATGCCTTGTCAAGAGTGGCACAAGGGGAAGGCTGTGCTTTTGGGAGATGCTGTGCATGCGGTCAGTAGGAATCGCAAGATGCACGGGCGCGTGGGTGACAGCTGATGATGGTGGAAGTGCTTCATCTCTCTCGCCCTTCTCTCAGCTCACCCCGCATCTGGGCCAAGGCGTCAACATCGCTATAGAGGGTGAGTGTCTAAGCGCGCATCTTCACCAGCGCTTGTTCCAACATCCTCCAAAACCCCCTGGCCGCATCGATTTTTTTCATCCTCGATTGACCTGCTCAACGCCGACTTTTTGAAAGATGCCGAAGCGCTCCATTACTTCATGAGCAGAAGCGACGGGTCGACGAAATCTTTGAAGCTTGCCATGGAGCAGTACGCAGCTCTCCGAGCTCCACGAGTACACAGAATCCAATGGCGCAACCTGCAAGCCGCAGGGTTGCTCTCGGAGGATGAAAAGGCGAAGCATGGACCGATCGATAGGCAAGAGTTTGGGAAAGAGACGTACGCTTATCAGGGAGCTGAAAAGGAGCTTTTAAAAAGGAACAAAGAGGAGATTTCGGTTTGACCTGCTTCGATTCGATCAGAATCCAAGCACTCTCGCAGTCCGGCTGTCGTCCACCAAGTCTTGATACGAAGTGGGCTACCGCAATCGTCGCGCCGACACTTCAAGGTCCATCCTTCTAGCTTTTACGTTGATCTCCCTCTTGAGCCTCATGTATCGTATGAACATCGACCTTGAAGATTTCTGAATTGATCGTCCGTGACGGGACGAACACGAATCGTCGTGGCTGTGATAGATAGGGCTCGACGGGTATTTGAAATGACACCCCCGTTGGACGAGACAAGGATGATATATACTCATCAAGCACACTCTGACTCGTGACTCGTGACTGACCCGGTTTGCAATTTAATTTGCAGGCCCCCCATGCACCTCCACATATACGCATACGCTCGTCACGGCTCGTCTCAGCGTGCGATGCTTGTTATACGCGCGAATGGTGTGTGGCTTGAAGGATCCCCTGCGGCTTGCTGCATCTTAATCGTGGATTCGTGAACCCTCCACAGACCCCACACCATCCACGCCTCGAGGATACCCCGCATCCTCCCCCCTCCGTTTGCATTCCAACACCTCTCTCGCGGCGAGCTTAAGAATCCATGCACGTACTCTGCTCTTGTCCCCGCTGAATCATCTCAGCGAAACGGATCCTACTTGACAAAAGTCAGCCAACCTTCAGAATGTCCTCTCCTCACAACTCCAGATGGTGTGCCAGCGCATGCTGCGGCGCGCGTCCTTCCAAGAGGTCCAGCGCTACACCTCAAACTCACCCCGAGACCTCTTCGAGCGGTTCGAATCCTGCGCCTCTCATCTCTCGGTACTACACAGCTCTCTCCTTGGGTTATTTGCCGAGCAACGATCAACTCTATGCGGCTTTGCACGCGCTGGCTGGATCCCTGGAAGGTGCTGCTTCGGCTGTTGCAGATGAGGATGGGCAGGAAAATGCGACGGATGAGAGGGACGCGAGGGCGAATGGGAGTCAAAGTACAAAGCATCAGACAAGAGAGCTGCTTCTTGAAGGCGCCCAGACTGCTAGGGAAGTGGCAAAGTGGCTGTACGGAGATGTCAAGGGTGCGACTGCGAGCGGCACGCAGAACAAGAGCGCAACGGGGCAGGAGACAACAAAGGGCAAGGAGACAGCGCCAGTGCATGAGCATGAGCATGAGCATGAGCATGAGCAAAGGGTCGGGCCATTGATAGACTTGTCTGAGCCAGCAGCAGATGCGCAAGCCTCCGACAGCTCGAGCTCTGACTTGAAGGAGCAGAGAAATGGCAGCGCATTGGCTCCCTCAGCTTCAACTTCTACCCAACGTACAAAGCCGGCAGCCAGAGGTAATTCCAACGAACAAATCCAGCAGCTGTTCTGGTTGCTCAAAAGGGCGTACAGCGAAGCGGACAGTGCAGATGCGGAGGTGGATTTGGATGTGCATCTCGGTGAGTGAGGCTGGAGCTGGCTCTGTAGCGAGCGTGTTTCACCTTCTCAGCGTAACTGTTCTCGCGGCGCCAGACCTGCCATCCGTCAGTGCGACGAAGCAGAAAGCTCAAAATGCGGTCAAGATTGCTCAGCAAGAGTCATCGAGCGCCATCAGGTCTTTGTGGACCGTCGCTACTGCAGTTGGAGTGGACGAGTGAGTCGTCGTCGTCGTCGTCAAGACAGCGTGTGTGGAGAAAGCGCGCCGCGCCTTGATGCCACTAGACTCTCGCTCAATCTTTCGCATCCATTCGCGCCCCAGGGCACATCGGCTCGTCGCGCTGCTCGTCAGCCGCACACGCACGCGAGCCGCAGCAGAAGCTGAGAGAGCTGCCGAGCTCGCAAAAGGTGCCGCAGAGCAGCTCAGGCCAGAAGGTGCGTCCTCCGATCCTCCAACATCTCTTCGTCTTTGCCATACCCAGAGACTGATTGTAGAAGCGTTCCCGACTCCCTGCCGTTGGGCCAGATACACCAAAGGATGTCGAAGAGGCAGTGCAAGCACCCGACGCTCGCGAGGCTGTTCAAGATGCCACGTTCGCAGCGCGAGCTGCTGCGCAAGAAGCCGTCGGAGCTGGTATGCACGGTCAGATGCCCAAGCAGTCAAGCGAACAGCAAGACACGTGGGAGGATGTCTTTGTGCGATCTCTAGAGCGCATGCTGCGAGCAGCCAAGGAGAGTGCAGAGGCGAGAAGGAGCGTTCGCACGCTTCTGGAGCTGTTTGAGACATGGAGCAAGAGGTTATCGAGCGTGCAAGAGCGCGTGGATCGAGCGGCCAGCGTCAGCTTACAAGCTGCAGACAATCCAAAAGAAGCGCTGCAGGATGCGAGAGAAGAAGCGGGAACTGCTGTTCAAGCCGAGCTGCACAATTCGCAGCTTGATGCGGAGCTCGATATTTCGAACGAGATGTGGAGCAGGCTGAACGCGCTCGGCTTGGCTGCTCGACAAACCCTGGAAGGCCTTGCGGGAGGCAAGAGCTTGCACCCTATCGTCGATGCGTCCACTCGAGCAATCACGGCGCTACGAAAGGAGACGGAAACTCGGCAGTGGCTCAAGGAGCTTGGAGATGTTGTGCGAGAGGCGATGGGTTCGCCCGATGCCAGCGACGATCATGATGATGAGGATGATGCAGACGACGACAGCGAAGCGCGGGGCACGAGGACAGGCGATGCAGCTCTGACTGAAAAGCTTCGTGCCTTGCTTCGAGACTTTGTAGAATTGATCAACAAACGTCCAGAACTCAGCGCAGCACTCGACGAGCTCAAAGCTCAACTTCTCGACTTTGCCGACGCGATTCGGTCCGAGCCTGGGCTTGCGAGTCTGGGCAGAAGATTTGCACGTATGGGAAAGGCTTTGCAGACGCTCTTTGAGAGCTTCGGACAGAGCAGTGCTCTGAGTCCTCAGGGGATCATTGACGCGATCAGAGATGCACCGGTTACGCGAGCTGTCAAGGCCGTGGTCAAGAGGTTGCTTCCGACTTGGCAGCAGGTGCTCAAAAGCGTGCCTCTGCCGCGTGTCGAATTTACAAGCGATCAGGCGGATGCTTCCGTGAGTGGGATGCTCGCGGGTAGATGAGCAAGGTGCCAGCGGCCATCCTTCAGCTTACTCCCTTCGGCTACACTCACAGGTTGACGACATCCGTATCCCCGCCTTGAATCTGATACCCGAACACGTTGGTCTATCTCTGCGCACGGATTACACGTACGACAGAGGTGAGGTGGCACCTTGTTCAAAATCGCCATGCGCTCGTGACTAGCTGACGCGATTGTGCTCCCATCTATCCGTAGATCGACGTAGTCATGACGTGACGACCAATACGGACACCAATGTCCGTTTGAGCCTGGCTGGTTTCAGACTAGGCATCGAAGATGTCAGCTTCTGGGTCGAAGAAAAGGGTGAGTCGATATAGCATGTCGCATCTGCTGCGCATTTCCTGAATTGTGATCATCTTCCTGTCCACAGTCACCGCACCCTCCCCTCAAGGCTGCTGTGGTCTGTGCGGCTGCTTTGCGTCCGATGAAACTTCTTGGCAATCTCGTCGGTGCATCTGTCAAGGTCCAGCAGCTTGGTTTGCGTATCGCGAATCTGCTCTGCTGGATTTGGGACTGTGGAAAGAGGGTCTGAAAGTGGACTTGGACCTGGTCGATGCTGGTCAATCTCTCCCCGCTACCCAATCGCGCGTCGCTCGTCCGACAACCGATGAGGATCTTCATCTGTGCTTGGCAACCGGGCCGGATGAAGAGGCTTTACTGCTGCTGGAACAGGATGAAGAGGCTTCGGAGGATGTAGCAGACCTCAGAAAATTGATGGAGAAGGCGCAGGAGCTGGTGGATGACGGACAAAGGACACATTTCTTCAACGTTCGAAACGTCGCTGTAGATGCTGGAGCCTTCGATTTCGAGCTGCGAAAGTCTCATCATTGGATCCTCAATTCCTTCTTTCTAAGACCCCTTGCCAGACCGATTGTTCGGCTGGTCCTTCAACGAGTCGTAGCTGCGCTCATCGAAGACACGTTTGAAAGGGCGGATAAGCAAGCTTGGGACTTGCATGTTCGCGCTACAAGACTTGCCAGATCTCGCGAGGGTACGAGCAGCGAGGGAAAAGCGGAATGGATGGATTATGTGCGCGTATTGATGGACAACAAAGCTGGCAAGAGTAGGGCGAGGAGAAGACTGGAGCGCAAGAGGAGGGAGTTGATGCAAAGGAGACAGGAGAGAGAAAAGGACAGACAGAGGCGTGAGGAAGAAGAGCTAGCGCGGCGGAGCGAGCAGCAGGAAAGAAGAGAGATAGAAGGAGGGCAGCGCACTGAGAATCGCCAGACTCGACAGCTACGTAAAGGACAAACGATGCGCGTCACCCCGACTGTGAGTAGAAGGAACGCTGCAGTCGCGCGCGTGATTGTACACTCATCTGCTGACTAGAAACACGCTGCGCGATCTTCCTCGTCATTCCGACTTGACTCACAGGCGCTGATCAAATCGGACACATCGGGCTCGTATGCTCTTTCGGTCGGTCTAGCACCTCGTCTTCTCGCTCCTCATAAGCGAGGTCCATCGACGAAGCGCACGGATCTGCGCGACGATCTAGTGCAGCAGAATTGGAAATCTCTGGGTCAAAGACCGGTCGAGCAAGCCAGAGAAGGTTGGGAAGAAGCGGCGGAGGAGACGGACTTGCTGTTGCCTTTCAGGACTGCCCAAGAGCAGGTGGATAATGTCAGAGGAATGGCGAAGGAGGTCAAACGTGGGAATGAGAGGATCAGAAGGGAGGAGCGGCAGATTGACGCGCGGCAAGAGTCTTCTGCCCCAACTGCGTCGAAGGGATGGAAGACGGACTTGTTTGATCTGTAATTGTATGCCACTGCTTGAGAAGCATCACTCGAGAAAGAATTTCTCGGATTGCGACCTGTCGCTCGTTTCTGAGGTTGCGAGGGAGCAGCACTACATTTGTTCATAAAAGCGAGGCATCATAATGCAAAAGCACCTTCAGTTGGCCAAGATGGGTGCGTCGCATCTTCTCGGCCGAGAATATTTCGAGGTGGGCGGAGAATGTGCGCAGATTAGACGCGCGACTTTACGAAAAATTGCCGCAAGCCGCCACCATCCTTCTTGAGCCGCTTTTGACGTGCAGGCAGGGTCCTCCACCCAACGTCCAACGTCCAACAAGCAACTCGCTACGGACTCACCTTTCGTCGTAGACTGCTCCCTGTATACCTACATCCAATCGGAGGAGGAGAATGCGCGGTGCACAATCCGCACGAGCGCTAAGCGGCTGCGCCTTTCACGTCGAACGATGCTCCTGGTCCGCTCGCTCGCGCTGCTTGCGCAGCATCGCGCAAAGCTCCGAGCCGTCGACCAGCAGCACATCAGTACTTCCAGCAAGCTCTGCCAGGTATAGCGACCGGCGTTATTTCGTCGGCTCGCCCAGCGCTCGTCTACCTCGAGCCCTTCCGCCCGGACGCAGAGGTGGCCTGACCTCTGCAGACGTGAGCAGAGAAGACGATGCGGAGGAGGAGGAACTCGAAGCTTCTGAACAAGCTGGGGAAGTGAAGGCTGGTCAGATGGAAATGGAACAGTCTGCGGATCTGCCTTGGTTCTTGCAGGCTGCACCAGTAGAGCAAGAGCAGATCGTCGAGGAGGCAGAGACGCCGGACATGCACTCGGAAGAGCGAGCACGTTTGCGCCAGAGACGAGATGCGCAGATCGCGCAGCTGCCTTCTCAATTGCGTGGCTTGCGCGATGTGATACTCGAAAGCCCTTATGCTCGAAGACTTGTCGATGATGATGGTGCGGAAATGTCACGCGATGCACCCATCGACCGTCCTTTTCGCTTCATTCATGCCAAACACCTCGACGAAGAGAGCTGGACGGAATGGATCGTGATTGTGGAGGTGGACACGACAACGGGAGGTGCGGTCACGGGCTTGGCCAGGACAGCTGGAGAGTTTGTAAGTCTTGCTTCGTCCGACCAGGTTTCAATTTCACTCAACGCGATTCAGGCTCAAGTGAGACTCTTTTGCTGCCACGCAGCTTTCGCACACGCGGCCGCCTGCTTTCCAAAAATCCGCACTGGATGCGTTAGGAGCTTTTAGGGACGCAAGTCCCAGAAAGAAAGGGCAGTTGCGCGAAGATCAAGATGAGGAGTCCCCGCCGGCTGCGAACGACCCTTCGCTGCGACCAAAGGGCGTCCCTCGCATCTCTTGGGCTGCGGGCAGAGAGCTGCCTTCGTGGGAGATCACACGCCGTTCGCTCGCGGCGCGCGCCGCCAAGGCGGATGCTGAAGACGAAGAGTCATCGTTGGCATGGCAACCTCGACGAATCATCTCTCGCGAAGCGCAAGATGGATTGAAGATGCTGGCGGAGAACGATCCGCAGCTCTGGACCGCCGAGACGCTGGCTGCTCAATTTAGAATCTCGAAAGATGCTGTGAGGAGGATTTTGAATAGCAAGTGGAAAGTGTCTAGAGAGGTTAGGGAACGACAAGATCGCAGAGCGAGGGAGAGGGAGGAGGCTAGAAAGGAAGCCTTTTTCGGCAAGAATCGAGAGCAGGAAGAAATGGAGGCAATTAGGAGAGCGCTAGATGCTGGATCTCTAGGGGGCGGCGACGCTCCGGGTGTTCTGGAGGGTCGAGAAGAAGTGCTGGAAGAGGAGCAGGATGGTCTGGAGCTGGGCCAAGACAGCAGGGTTCGCGGCAACGCAGACGAGGAAGCACTTTCACCTTCCATCTTTGATAATATGCCAGAGTTCCGGCATCCATTGCGACCGCGACGGAGAAAACCGGTGGTCAAGGTGACATACGAGGGTATTCCCACTGGTCCAGGAACAGACGGCTCTGGCGGAGGAGGAGGTCTGACCAAAGCGCAAGCGCGCCGTGCGGCTAGACAACAGCGCGGAGAGGGAGATTGGGTGCTTGTGGATGCTGGATGGTGCGTGGTGCACGTCATGACGAGCAACAGCCGAGCTAGATGGGACTTGGAAAGGAGATGGAACAAGGCTTCCAAAGCTTTGGAGAAGGGCGGTGCGTCGGATCTGGCTGGGGAAGGGGAAGAGGCGGATCCTGCGGTGGCGGAGATGAACAAGACCAAACACAGGTCTAGAGTGGGAAAGAGGTACAGCTTGAATGAGCACAGAAGAGCAGCCACGCCGGATCGTTCGAGCAGGTCGACGGAAGGAGCGTGGAGGTGAACAGCAATGTGAATGCTCCTACAGATTGATCTCGCTTCCGTCTGTGCAAGCCATACCTACGACGTCTACGTGACTAGAAAGTCATTCATCAAACCTCTGAAGTTTGTGCCCTGTGAGCGATGGCCCTTTTGACTACTATTTAGATCGTGAGCAAATTGATCTGCCTCGCAAGTCAAGAGTCACGAGTCAAGAGTCAAACTGCGCGGTGTTCTGATTCGACGCCGACACGTAGCAGATATGTCACGTGAGCGTCAAGGACCGTGCTACCCGCGCCGCGTATGTGTGCTCAACGCGTTGGACGCGTCACGCGTAAATTGATGTGACGCGTTGGGACGCGTGCTGCTAGTTCGTGCGGGCGGTGAAGAGAGAAGAGATGCTGTGCACACGCAGAGGTATCGAGAGCGGGAAGCAGCAGGCTGGCAGGCTGCACGCGTGGCTCGGAGTGTAGGTTGTGCAGCAGATGTTCGACGAGCGGGCCAAGCAAGCTCTTTCTGCTTTCGACACTTGCTTCCCCCACCATCGCTCTCCTCTCACACGATATGCAAAAAGGTCATCGCAGCCTATCGAGAAAGTCGCGAGCAGTAATCCCCTCGATTCATCCATCTCCACCTTTGGGAACACGACGCAAGCGCGCTGATCGAAGACGCCGACATTGCAGTGGAAATGGCATCCACAGGCCCCATCCTGCCGGTCGTCAACCTTCAGATCAATTACGATGAGGAGCGAGGTGAGTCGAGTCGCAACGTGAATGCATCTGGCCACGACTATACGCATGCGCTGACCCACATCCTGCTGCCCACGCACGCACACGACAGCAAACATCAAAGACTTTTTGACTCATTTCAAAGGACCTGTACCTGCGCTTCGAGCATCCAGCAGCGTGGTCAAGGAGCCGGACACGGACGATGAAGATGCTGATGGTGATGCTGAAGGTGATGCAGACCTGGAAGATGGATTCGGAGAGCTGGACATTGCCCCGGGTGCTCGAACGACGCGTGGCAGAGGTCGGAATGCCAGCAGCCTCAAGTACAAGGAGCAATTAGTGAGTCAGGTTGGTCGGTGATGGATCGCAACGGGCGACACTGCTTCGGCTCGCTGATGAACCCCTGGCACGATTTGTTCCTCAGCAACGCATCTGCAATCGGCAACAAGATGCGCTCGTCATTGACGTTGCTGATGTCCACAAGGTGAGTGAGCGCACTACACCCTTCAGCTCGACTCGCCCTCACCAGTGCTGACGTGCACTTCGATTCTGTACGCTGCAGCATCGTTTCACGCACAACCAGGAGAAGGGCACCAAACTCGCCATCGCCATGACCGGTAATGCGCACCGCTTCATCGAGCTCTTCAGCGAAGTGGTCGACTCGGAATTGAAGAACATGGTTCCTGCCGAAGGGATCGACTATCGAACAGACGTGCTGGATGTGATCATGGAGCAGCGCATCGAACGCAACTCCAGAGTGGAACAAGGTCTGAGCATGCAGCAGCCCGAGGATGGCGAGGATGAGGATGGTGGCGAAGCTCCTGCTCAGGATGAAGAGCCGCCTTTCCCACCTGCTCTGCTGCGAAGGTACAACTTGTACCTCAAACCCGCCAACACTCACCACAGCCGCAGAGTGACCGGCGACGATGCCACTTCCTCTTCCTCGTCCGGCACGCTGGCAGTGCGAGCAGTCAGAGGCGCACATCTGGGCAAGCTCATCACGGTCCGCGGCATCGTCACGCGAGTCAGCGAAGTCAAGCCTTTCCTTTTGGTCGACGCGTACTCTTGCGACCAGTGCGGCGCAGAAATCTTTCAAGAGGTCAATGGAAGAGCATATCTGCCATTGGACAAGTGCCCCTCGAAGAGATGCATGATGAATCGCACGAGAGGCGTACTGCATCAGCAGACCCGAGCAAGCAAATTCACCAGCTTTCAAGAGGTCAAGGTGCAAGAGATGGCGGATCAAGTGCCCGTGGGTCATATCCCGCGAAGCATGACCATTCACCTCTATGGCCCATTGACGCGCTCTCTGAATCCTGGAGATGTGGCAGACATTGCAGGTGTCTTTTTGCCCACGCCTTATACTGGCTTCAAGGCTGTCCGCGCTGGTCTACTCACAGACACGTATCTCGACGCCCAGCATGTCACTCAACTCAAGAAGCAGTACGAAGCTATGGAGTTGACGCCAGAGATGAGCGAGCGCATTTCTGCTCTCAAGGACGATCCTGCTCTCTATGCCAAGCTGGCCGCGAGCATCGCCCCGGAAATCTACGGACATGAAGACGTTAAAAAGTGCCTTCTGCTGCTCCTAGTAGGCGGTGTCACCAAGTCTGTGGGCGACGGCATGAAGATCAGAGGCGACATTAACGTCTGCTTGATGGGTGATCCTGGTGTGGCCAAGTCGCAGCTACTGAAGTACATCAGCAAGGTCGCACCGCGAGGCGTCTACACGACTGGACGGGGAAGCTCCGGCGTCGGTCTGACCGCCGCTGTCATGCGTGATCCGGTGACCGAAGAGATGGTCCTCGGTGAGTGTTGCGCAGAGCGCTCGAGTCGCGCAAATGAATGCTGATTGTTGACGAATCCGAACTGTAGAGGGCGGTGCGCTGGTCCTGGCGGACAACGGAATCGCGTGCATCGATGAATTCGACAAGATGGACGAGTCTGATCGGACAGCCATCCACGAAGTCATGGAGCAGCAGACGATCAGCATCAACAAGGCAGGAATTTCCACCACGCTGAACGCCAGAACTTCTATTCTAGCAGCTGCAAACCCTCTGTATGGACGATACAATCCTCGCATATCGCCCGTCGACAACATCAATCTGCCAGCGGCTCTGCTGAGTCGTTTTGATGTGCTGTTCCTCATCCTCGACACGCCCAGCAGGGAGGACGATGAACGATTGGCTCAGCACGTCTCTTATGTTCACATGAATAGCGAGCATCCCCCGCTGGAGCACGAGCCGCTGGATGCCAACGTGATGCGCCATTACATTGCGCTGGCGAGGCAAAAGCGACCAACGGTGCCGCGCGTGGTGAGCGAGTATGTGGTTGGAGCTTACGTCAAGCTGCGAGCTCAAGGAGCAGAGGAAGAGGCAAAGGAGCAAGCCTACTCGTACACTTCTGCCAGGACATTGCTGGGCGTGCTTCGCCTTTCGCAAGCGCTTGCCAGGCTCCGATTTGCGGATAGCGTGGATGTGGCGGATGTGGATGAGGCGCTGCGATTGATGGATGTGAGCAAGGCCAGTCTGCACGCTGATGGGCGCAAGCGGGCGGGCGAAGAGTGGGGCGATTCGACGCCGATCAGCAAGATTTACAGGATCATTCGCGATATGGCTTTGGCTCAGGGCGCTGCGGAGAGGGAAGAAGCGATGCAGAGGCAGAAGAGATCTAACAGAAGACCTATGGCCAGCACGGGCAGGTTGGGAAGAGGACCGGCGGGAGAAAGAGGGGATGATGGGCAAGATATGGATGTGGACGATGATGAGGTTGCGGATGCGACGTACAGGGATGCGGACAATGCGCCGGGCGAACTGCAGATGAGGGATGTGAGGGCTAGGATCTTGGCTGGTGGATGGGTGGAGGATCAGTTGCAGGAATGCATCAACGAGTACTCTGACCTGGGCGTCTTGCAGGTCATCGGCAATCGTTTGACCTTCTTGTAGAATCTTTGGCTCTGGCACCCACCCCCCCCCC